GGGACACATACAAACCTCAGTGAGGACCAGCACCCATGCCCTGCCCAGACCTGCAGATACCTGCTGGACCCAGCAGTGAAGCTCCCTCACACCCAACCAGGTCACACAGAACACTGGCAAAGGAGGAATACACTGAAGGTGGGCTCAGGGGCAGATTCTGAGGCACTCCTACATCTTTATCTCTCATCATGTGCTTAAACCTCTGAGACACAAGGAAATGTTTCATATGAGTCAAGCTACCTGTAGCAGGGTCATAATTCAGAAATTTATGAAGTACTGTGCTCCTGCACATTACAAAATAGGTTAAATTAGAGTTGATTAGGGTTGTAAGGATGGTCTCACATTCACAGGATAATTGTTTCAGCTGGAATGGACTTCTGGAGGTCCAGTCTCCCCATTCAGAACAGGTTCAACTAAAGCAAGTTGCTCGGGGCTGTGCCAAATAGGGTTTTGAACATCTCCAAAGACAGAGAGTCCACAAACCTCCCTGGGGAACCTGTTGTAGTGTTTAACATGTGCATAGTTAAAATGGACTTTTTTCTCATGTCTAAATGTAACTTAATTATCTCACTTTGCACCTGTTCCCTCTTCTCCTTTCACCAGGTCCCACTGAGAAGAGTCTGGCTGGCCTTTTTTACTCCCTTCCCACTGATATTTATACATGTTGATACACATTTACACATATCAATTCCACTCTGAAACCTCTTCTCAAGGCTAAATTTCCCAGCTCCTGGTGTGTCAGATCTTCAATTCCTGAATCATGTCAGTGGACTCACTCCAGTATGTCCATGTCAGACAAAGCTGGTCTCTGGTCCAGAGTGTGCTTATAATGCAAGGCACTTTCACTGCCCAGTTCCCTTCTCTTTTGATCTTTTCCTGTTCCTGCTAGAATAGTAGCCAGGAGATGTTGTAGGAGGGATTTATAAGTGGTCAAGTATATAGCTCAGCACTGCTTTATGGCATGCTCATAGAATCACACTCACATAGGGATGGAAGTAGGACAGGTGGGCCTGAAGCCAGGCCAAAACTGTTTCATGAAGTGGCACACAAAAAGGGGATATGATTTCAGATTCTTCATCCCTTTCTACAGTGGACTTAAGAACATTTTATGAGATTTATGAGATCATAAATACCTTTGATTTGCTTCTAATTTGTCTCCAATGGAAAAAAAAAAAGAATCCTTATCATGTGAATACCAACACTGCAACCTCATGTTCACTGGAAGCAGCTGAGAAAGGTGAGTAGATGCCCGGCACTTACTTCAACAAGTAAATTGATAAAATTATTATTATCTGCTTAAACTAACAAAACCCAAGCCTTTTTCAGATTTTACAAAAAGCAACTTCTCTCTTCCCTCAACTCTCCTTTGACTTGCTTTTTTTCAACAGCAACATTATTAACATTCTCATTTCATACAGCTACTTGAGGGGTTGTTTCTATCCTTAGCTTTGAAGAAACACGCAGGAAAATGTTACAAATGCAAACAGGAACATTCTCTTCTTGCCTGAAACATGAGGATCCAGACAGTTTTTGTCCTCACCACATTTTCTGAAGGGTCTGTGTGGCTTCCCACCAATGCAGCACCATCTGACCAGGGCCAAGATGGGTGGATGAGTAGTCCAAGGTGAAAAACACACATTTGCAAGAAATCCACAATGATAGAGAGATCTGTGTTCTATGAGGAAATACTCATATGTAATTCCACTAATCTATCTACTGCATTCCTCAGGCTTGTTATTTTTCACTCTGAAAAGCAAGAGTGAAGGACAGAAGACCAGGAACAGATGAGACATTTTCTGAAATGTGGACATTATACTTTCTTTTAGCAAATCCTTTAGTGTTTTGAATCATTCTGTCTCACACTTTGATTTGCCGATTACAGTGCATGATCAACATGCTATTCATTGAAATTATCTAAGTAAAGGTCTACATTGTGTCTTCCAGGAACATACATTGTAAAGTGGTGGGAGTTTTCACACAACTTGACGTGTACGTTACACTTTTAAGTCATCTCTTGGCTCAAAAGTTTGCTTTTTGTTTTTCCTCCAGGACCTTAGCTTCACTTATTTTTAAATAAATCAATTTCCTTATCATTTTATTTTTCTATTGATCATTTTATGGGTCAGATTCTGTTTTGTTTGGAGATACACACATGCAATAATTTTGTTAAGACACTAAGATTGAATTTGCTGTAGATTTTCTCCATCACCTTGGAAACCAGTCTTCTTCTTCCCTCAAAATCCAGGCTCCACCTTCCCCAACACACAGTGACATATCCAGATAATTTTTGTCTCTGACAAAATTCAGTGACACAATCACATGTCTACATATGGCCACAAAATCTGATTGATTTCTGAGCTTGGTATTGTTTTTACTATTTTCTGAGTAAAAGGGAAAAAATAATTCTCAAGTTACAAGCCACTTAGGACAAAATTTGTGTGCATAATGCCCTGAGAATGAGAAGCAGTGCTTTGTCAAGGAACACAAGCATGAGCTGAGGCAGCACAAGTATAAATGTCACTCTGAATTACAGCCTGCTTTTATAGAACATCAGCTGGAGCCTCCAGCACGGGCTGCAATGTTTTTTTTTTTTTCCTGAGGTTGGATATCCATTCATAGGTCCTATCTGATGAAACTGCTTGTACAGCCAATCTGAGCTGTGCATGATCCTGCTCTGGGCTGCTGACCTCAATCCAGCATCTTACATAGAAAGTTTAAGTAAACATGCAATGACAGAAATGCACAATGTGCCACTTTGCAGCTCTTATGCTGCAAAAAATTGTGTTTGGAGGAAGAGAGAGAGGCCAGAGGGACATGACTACAAAAGAACACCTTCCTTCCCTTTTAGGGAGGCTGCTATTTAGAAAGGGAAAATGGTGTAGTACCACGCAGCTGAAGAAACAGCATGACAATTATTTTGTATAGCAACTTGTATAAAAGCTGCTCAGCCCTTTATGGAATTAATTATCTGAAATACATGATTTCTGCCCAAATAAAGAGAAATGTTGGTGGGTTACAAACACTAGAAAAACTTTATTTGGCAGAGATTCTGTAAAACCCAATTCTAGATTCAGTTGAAATCTCACTTCCATTTCAAAGCAGACAGAGGTAGAGCTTTTCTTTGGGTTTGACAGATTTAAAGAACACTAACAAATATCGTTTAAAAAAAAAAAGAAAGCAAAAAACTCACAAAAAAACCCACACTGTAAAAGCATTTAAGTATATTTACAGGGGGAAAAAAAAGGTAGATTTCATCTATCTTGTTGAAGAGCACTAGAAAAGAAAGAAGAACCTAATTTATTTACTTGCCCCTGAGTTAGAGGGCTAAAATCTATTGCAAAAAGTTATGTTTCCTCTGTGTTAGGATACCTTGCAGCTCCCTGTAAACCTTGTCTTAAGGGGTAAGGGACATTAACAGGCAGCTTTCTTCTCCTTTGTATCTCAGAGGCTGAAACAAAGGAAAGCATGAGGCCTCAAAAAGGAATACCTGGCCATAGTGGGGGCAGATAAACTATTTTAATATGTTCTGGTGGACCCAGCCACAGGATAAATCCTGTTCATGTGCAATTGCCTGGTGGCCAGAGAACCCATAGGTRTGTGTGTGAAGCTGAGGAACAAGATGGAACACTTGGGAATGAAAGATTTTAACGAAGGGCAATAAATATGTAGCAAAAAGAAGAGGTGAAGGAACAGAGGCTTGAGTCTGCCGACTGAAATTATGTGTTCAGTCAAGCTGCCAAAGAAAAAAACATAATTGGTGCTTTAATTCTGGGAAAGAGAGAGTGTTTTTCCAGGCTGGAGAAGCACCGTGAGCTGCTGCAGCTGATTAACAGTGCCACCAGCCGGCCTGCTGGAAGAGGGCCAGTTTGAGAAACCTGGGAAAACAAGGTACATCCAGGCACCACCTCTCACCCCTCAAACTCCTCACAGTCGGACTCTGACCCTGCAGGCACTTTGCCAAGTGCACAGGGGGCTGTTCCTGGGATCAGCTGCAAGAAAGGTCTTACCCAGAGAGGTGCTCTCAGCTCCAGCAGGGTCAAAGGAGGTAATGAATTCCAAGGGGGTGTCTGCCACAGCCAAGAGTGAACAACAGAGAATCCAGCTCAGGAGGGCTTCTCCTCGTGTGGAGCACACCAGTCAGCATAATGAGCCATGGCAGCCCTGGAATTATTAAATAACCAGATGGTGCCACAGAGGCAGTGTAAATGCAGGCAGTGAGATGTATATTGGCAATGAGATATTTAAAGATATACTTTTGATTGCTTGGGGGGTGATTTCCTATTGGAAGATGAACTTTAAATTCAGTTAAGTTTGGCACCTCACAGTCTCCCTGGTCACAGCACTTATTAGGAGAGCTACTATTACCTGGTTGTACAAAAACACCCTAAAATACGTTGTATAAAGCCAACAGTGTCACAGTTGTGAAAAACAGGAAAGTTCTCTTGCAGCAGAGCAAATCCAGCATCAAAACTGTGCTCTAAAAACTGAATCAAAGGGTCATGGAACCTTTCATGCCACTTTTTAGACAGCAGTGAGGAACTAGTTTTGCCCAACAGCTGCAACAAAGAACTGTATAATGAAAAAAAAGGCTGTGGGAGAAGGAAAGGTAACATTTATAACCATCTCAAATTTTGGCAGTTTGGCAGCCTTGCACACCTCTGCCAARAATACTGGTCAGCTTTTTGCTGGACTATAACCATGTGATTATGTAGCTAAATTTTATATTTCAACAAATGCAAGTCAAATGGATTTCTAAGAAACCAGAAAAGTGCCAACAGTTTATCCCATGTGATTGTCATACAGCTGACTGGTTCCATTCTGCTGAGTTTTATGTGGACACGTAGACTGGATGCCAGGTATCCACTAAAAAGCTGATTGAGAAGAGGTATAGTAAGATAAAGTATGAATTTGAGAGGGAGGAAGGGGGCAGGGAAATACAGCCAAACAATGCTGTATTCCAAGCCCTAACAATAACTTAATGTAAGGGATAACAATGGAACATCAGTTAAAAGTTTAATTTTCCATCTCTGAAACAGATCTGGGAYTGAGCCAACATCCTTCCTCTTTGGACTCTGAAGCCAGATGGAGTCTCATTCCACTCTGGAGCAACTCACAACATGCAAATGTTAGGGCCAGTCACAGCAGAGAGGTACAGGTKTGAATAATGGCTGCACAAGCCATGTTTCTGATTTCAATGCCCATGGACTGCCTGTGTGATGGTCACTTTTTTTCTGCATGTTCTTAGTGAAATTACTGCATCTTCATGGCTTTGAGACTGTTGTTGAAGATGAATACAGCTGTGAAGCAGAGGAAGAACCTTTGTTCCTAGAGAAGTAATATCTAATAAAGTGTCAAGGAAATGCTGTCAAGTGTCAACAAATACCAGACAACATATCCACTAATACAGTCATCAAGGAAGTGAGCCAGAATGCTCTAAATACCATTGTTTGTTTCAGGTTTTCAGTTTCACAGAATTGCTGACAGTGTCATATAGCAAATGCATATCTTTGTAGAGAAGTGACAAAACAGCCTTCCTGACAAAAGAGCCTTCCTGAAAACCTGCTTCTTTTTCTGGAAGGTGAAAGTCTTCCTAAGCCTGTCCTAACACACCACCTTTCATCCTGTTCAGCCAAGGAAGCAGGCTATCACTTGTTTGGAACACTGTAATATATTTTTATATTCTCACTTTTGCTGCTTTCTGAGTCACTTCCGTTAATCTGAAATTCCAGTCATGTCCCCCACAGATGAGGTATATCCAGGTAAGTCCATGCTGTCAACAGAAGACTAACACCTGCTTCTAGCAAATTCTGCCAGGCATGCTGAATCATACTCATCTGTCATTACCACCYAAAATGCTAAAACTTTGGTGTGGAATGAGTACCTGGATCCTGTCAGGAATGCTGGATGCTGACAGCAAAGTCAGARAAACCAGTTTTTTTAGCTGGACTGTGGCATCTGTGCCTTGCCTTGCTTCCTTGCTTTGCATTCAGCGAGATATTTAGAGGATCATTTCAGTACTAGATGGTGAACAGAATGAGCCACACTCCAAAAGGATACATAAGAGTGGGGACACCCCGTGCTGCCAGGTGCTTTCGGATGAGCCGCTCGGTGCCGTACCAGTTGAACCCTTTTGTTGCATACCCAATCCGTGGAAGATGCACTGTGGCTGGAAAGGAGGGAACAGAGAGTGCATGCTCTTCAGGAAGAGATACACATACAGAAAGCCATCTAGAAAAAGWCTTCAAGCTACCCAACAAGAGCAGGAGAAATATTTTTGAGCAACATATCTGCTATGGAGATCTCACTTCACATGAGATATAAAACAGTGGAGGAGAGGTGGAAATTAGTCATCATCTTTAGGTGATACCAGAGATAAAAGAATTCGCTGTTCTACTGCACAGACACTTACCATTCCTTTTCTTGGCTGCTAAATAAATCTTCTTCAGGCCCTTTTCCAAAGCTGACAGCTTAATGCCAGACAAGTTGTTGGACCGATCCCGGTGCTGAGCTACAATCAAGGCCAACTAAGGAGAAAACACAAAAAATTGAAATGGAATCTATATACAGTACTAAGGGACATAGTGATAGTGCTGGAAAACTGCATTACTAACTTTTAGTTTTAATAAATGAAGAACTAATTTTTTTCTAACATTTAACTGCAACTTAACCATATTCAGTAATTAGTGCCATTATTACTGTGAAAAAGACATAAGGTTCATTTCACACAATTTCAAAAACATATGGATAGAGCAAAACAGAAAAAGAGCTTTTCATTCTCACCAAATCTTGTCCTTTTTTCCTTGATTTTTTATCATCAATAGGGAATAGCAGGGTTCCTCCTAACTCCAGGTCTGTCCAGAAAAAAGAACAGGACAATAAAAAATCAGACCCCAAGGACACAAGACAAACATTTTCCCCCTGAGCCACACAGTCACACACACACATCCCAGCTGAAGACAACAAACAGAAAGAGACACACAGAAATGAGAAGAAAGCATTTCCCAGGAAATTAGAAAAATCAACAGGACTACCTTATAGCAAAAAGTACATTTCTCATTAGCTGCAGGTATCTCAAAGCTGCTAATACAAGCTCAGAAGAACATTAGTGCTTGGAGGGAAGCAAAAGCTCAGCTGAGTACACCTGAGGTGGCTTTCATCCTCCTTAAAAGCACTTTGGCAGAAGATGCAGTGCTCTGTCTTATATAATGAAAAACATTCTGTGAATGATGTACAAATTTGGGGTTTTTTTCCTTTTTTTTTAAGACTTGCAGCATGAATTGGAATGATCAACCCTTATACAGAGTTCTCACACTCCAAACAAGTCAAATCAAAGTACCCACTGAAGTAATACTTTCAGAGCAARGGATGCACACATSTAGAGGAAGAGTGAAAAATGTAAGYATCAAGGTACYCAGGCACCTGACTCCTGCACTGTCAGTGGAGTTCAAGCTCTTTCACGTATCTTGGCCTCAGGTCACATTTTAATCTCTTACCTTTCATCTTTCCTGCCATCTCATATATTTTCCTTGGCTGATCAGAACGAGCTTCTAGAGCAGTGAATAAACCACCCCTTCCCCAGCGGCCGGAGTCGTCTAGAATGAAATGACAAGTTAAACTCCTTTTAGAAGTGAGGTTGGAGACCACCCTTGCAGGAAAGGTGCCTGCTCTGTACACAGGCAAAAAGTGATTATCAAAACCAGATATGGGAACTACATACAAACTTAAGTTAACCACTATTCAAGGGACTATCCTAAAGGATAAATCTCAGCCCTTGAGAAAAACAAACTTGTCACCATTCCCTGAAAAACTCTGCAAAAGAATTCCTTCTTACTGTCCACCAAAAATGCTGAAACAAGCGCTAACCATAGTGTTGAGCATATAAATCTGACAGCATCCTCACATACATACATACATGTACATACACAGAGCATGCATGTAGTATGTCCTCAGATTGGTGCCTCGGGCATCTCACAACTAGGTGCTTGGTATTTGCAGTATTTCACTTTTATTTGGCATTTCCATTTCAAACATGAGGTTTCATGCAGAGTGTAACATAAGCCAAAGCAGATTATGATGTTCTGCTAAATCTTCAGGAGAAACCCTTAAAAGTGACTTTATCTCCCTCAGCTTTAGTGTCTTGAAAGAGGGCTTTAAATTAGGAAACTAATCTGTACTGTCAGTGTTGAGAGACAAGCACCAAAAAATTTACCTCAGCCTCTGGAAGTGTCTGTCTCTCTCTGCTGACTGGATAAAGAAGATGAATTTCAGTATCTCAATTTGATCCCTACAGGTTTCACAGGACAMACAAAAGGCCCGGCTGTCAGGAACTGTGATCATTTAGCCACTGATATAAAATTGCAAGCCATACAGGCACCTTTGAAGAGGTTTACCCATAAATCCAGAGAAGGCACACAAAGACCCTTGAACACCTTGCTAGTACTTGTGTGGGTTATACATGGTGGAGTAGAGGCTGTATTGCCTTTTTACCACTTAAGTCAAACTCAAATCCAAATTACTTCAGAATTAGAAACTATTGAGTCAGTAGGGACAATTCAGCTCCCTTGTTCACCTCACCTAACAACACTCCTGTTGTTCTCAGGTCCTACCTAGGCAATGGACAATGATGGCATCTTCCTCTTCTGCTTGGGGGTGGGTTACATCTCCCATGACGTACTTGATATAGTTCTGGTCTGCATCTTTGTAATCTAAATCCACATTCTGYCCCAACTCATCCTCCTCAAACTCTTCCTCAGAGCCACTTTCCTCTGAAGGAAGGCAGGTAGATTCGTAATSATTGGCCTTCCACCAGGCCATCCTGAAACCAAACACAAGAAGAGTATGTTCAATGAAAATCAAAGGTGGAGGCACACAGATTGGTTTAAACTATTGCAGTGAAACACAGGAGGCCTAGAGGTGCATTCCCTCCGCTCCCTCCTCTATTTTAGATGGTTACCACAGCTCTTATCTATCATATTAAGAGCCACATGCCAATGTGATAAGCCCATTGCAGGCATGGACAAGGAGCTACTCAAAATGGTGAAAAGGAAGAGCACCTGGGAAACAAGAAGAAAGATAAGTCACATGCCAAAGAGTCACAGATATCAGACCAATTTATAGCTATATTTATATAGCTGTGACATTTCAGAAAGCTCCTCCCAAAGGCTCAYCCAGTGTACAGTCAGATATGGGATTCTTATTCAGGCCACTCTCTATGAATTAAAGTAGACGTAGAGTCAGGCAAGGGTATTCAGGAGGAAAGAATCCTTGCTAAGGACTCAAGCCATTTTTCCACCTTCTCAGCTCCATGTTATGCAGTTCAAGCATATTATTTTTGTCAATCAGACACGCATTTCTGGAGTGGAGTGCAACATCAGTTTACAAGTAGTAGATAYAGTGCAAACCATACTTTTTCTTGTGTTCTGCCTCTGCTTTTGCTGCCTTCTTTTCCTCCATGAGCCTTGCTCTCTTTGCTGCTGCTTCTTGGCGCTTCTTCCTCCTGGCCTCCAGCTCCTCTTCACTCAGCAAGTGCTTCCTCCTGGCYGATTGTTCCCGAAGGCCTGTGAGAAGGGCCTGGAAAAAGAAAGGTATCAGAGAAACAAACTGCTCATCTTAAAGCCATGCCTGATGCCCTCCTTAACCTTATTCCTTTCCCATTTGTTTACTTGTTCACAAGTSTTAATCTTCACATCTCAATTGTCACATAATATGTGGGTTTGTGATCTGAGTTTATATGAGTAGGTACACCRTATCGCAAATCTGTTAGCAGAACTGCTGAATTGTCAAGTCCTGATTCCAGAGCCAGCTTTAGTAAACTGACATCCAAATCTTTTAACATGCCTTCTGCAAGCTGTAGGTAAAGAGAGAAAACTGCCAAGTTTCATTTTCCACAAGCAAATGAAAGAGCATCATGAGCCTTGTCACATCTGCCTTACATTTGCTTTGTTCCGGAGAGCTCTCCCTTCCTTACTGGTCTCTTCAATCAATGCCTTCTGAAGATCCAAAAGCTGATCAAATGCTTTTTTGTCTTCTCTGCTGGGTTCTTTGGAATAATCTTTGCCTTCATACACGTACATGTGATCTTTAAAAAAGAATTAAAAAGTGTGAAAAGGAACTGAAACCTACTAAAACCTAAACTGTACAGTGACATAAAAAAAAATCTGGCTCTTCTGTGATATTGTTCTACCCTCAGCAGAAAAAGACCTTCACTCTTATAATTTTTTGGTATGACCAGAGTTAGCATCATGTAGAAACAAGAGAATCAGGAATTGCTCCCTTAGCCAAAGCCTTTCATTTGTTTAGATTGGCAAGGAACCTTTCTTCCTATTTCAGTCAATTAATTATTTTAAATCGTGGTTCCATCACTGTTCCCTTTGGTCATTCCATGTTCTGCCAGTGGAGAATTAATTCAGCTCTGCTATGTAGTTACAAGCAGCTCTCGTAAAGGGACAGAAAATTTTTGCTTTTGAGATCCCATATGAAGTAAAGGCATGGAACTCTGGCAGCTCAGGGTTGCTGCTCACCAGGTGAGTTATTTTCCCAACACCTACTACACAGAGTGGTATCACTGCTCCTCTCTTAAGTCACCACCAGAAAACACCACTCTTTGCTAACTCTCAGCAAATAATTGCTCATTGCTGGCAACTGCTGCTGGATGGACAATAACTGTCCTGCAGGGCCACAATTCAACTTCAGTCACAAATCTGTATTTAAGTTCTGCTGTGTACCCAGAGGAAAATTCAGTCTTTCTCTGGGAAATGAGCCACTGGAAGAGGGAACTATCCTAGAATTTATTTTCATATAGTATGGGACTATGAAAAACTAACCACAATTGGGTGACATTCAGGTTGGAGAGCTCAGAAGACAGAGTAGCTTTGTTCTAGTTGTATAGACACCATGATTCTGCATTTCTTATTTCACCCTTTGGATTTTCATGGCCAATAATCTTTGATTTGGAGATAAACAGAACACCTGCTATAAAGCCTTTCCTTATGTTACTATTACATCCAAAACTAAAGATTTATCTTAATGTTTCTCTGTGTGAAAAGCAGCACCTACAATATAAATATTTTCCCTTTTCTCACAAATTTCCATCTGAGGTAYTAAAATATGCACAGGAAGGAATTCAACTCCCAGTCACCAAAACTGGCAAGTATTAACGTTATTTGACAGACAYGCAAGGATAAAAAAAAKAAGAAAAATATMAAAAAAKATTTGGAAATARAATTTGTGGATAGGCCACAAGCACAATCCAAGTMAAATTATAATTCTGCTTTTCTTGTTGCCTGAAAAATGCCACCCCTACCTGKGAAGCCATCTCTRTSAGCACTCAAGTGACATAGCTATTGAGATTCTTCACTTACTCTCTGTATCCTCCTCTTCATTCTCTTCTTCCTGTGGCAGCACAAGGTCCATTATCCACTGTCCTCCTTTTGTCTCACCAAGGATGTTTTCTAGCTCCACATCCTGTACAGTACTCCCCTCAGAGGAGAGCAATTTATCCAGGCCAAATTTCAAGATTTCACTCAGCTTAGACAAAGAGAAGGGGAAGTTCAGTATTATTATCTTCTAATCCCATGTCAATCCCTGTGTCTCGAGCTTCTCAGGCTTAAATGTGAAGGATGTATGAGTGGAGGAGCCTAAGCTTTAAGTCTGCCTGTCAAAATACTTATGCTTTAACATGCCCCATTCTCCCAACACCTGATGGGACAAGCCTCAACAACATATCTCCCTCAATCTAACTCATCCAGACTTGAACAGTTKTTTCTCTTCAGTGCTAAATGACAAAACAGCACTGTCCTGACTGCATTCAAGCAGCTTTCTCCATAGCCAGGAAGGCCAAGCTTGTTTTTGCCCCCAATCCCTTTAAAACAAAAGCTTAAATACCATAAAAATCCAGGGGGAGAAAAATATCAGSATGGAATTTCCTATGGGCTCAGTTCCACTTCTCCCACAAAAACTTTAATTGCTGAGATCCACGCTGATGGGGCAGGGAGGGGAGGCAGAAGGGGAAAGGATACACTAAATCCAAACYTCTCCTAGATTTAGCTACACACAGGGGATATGTTCCCTTAAATGTCACTTTGCTTGAGGTTTTCAAGATAAGTTCTCAGCACAAAATCCAGCTTTCAGGTCAAAATTATAAATCATGCCCTGACTCCASAGACACTGTATTTGCCAAGAGGCCAAAAGAAGATTGACTGAGTTTCAGACTAACAACYAAAAGCTGACTAGGTTATCAGCTGACTTCTTATCAGCTCWGTTTGTGAGAGAAAAGCACCAGAGRCAGATCAGCTCGAGAAACAATGAGTCAGCTTCCACTTTAAAACTATTATACTTAAAAAACAAGTAAGACAAAGAAAGGTTCTCCCCCTCTTCTCCAAGACAACACACCCCTTTCCCACAAGGAATGCACTACAAAATTACAAAAATTGTCTTCAAACGTCAGATTTTGTCCGGACATGGGATGTCATTTTGTTTTCTACATATAAAGGCTGCCATATCAATGCTCAACTGTTTGGCAAGGTTTGACAGAAACATTCTGGGACATTTCTAAGGTGGTTACTGGAATCAAATTGAGAATATAACTGTGGTTTACCTGAAACTCTGCTGCTCCCTGAGGCTTGGGTGCTCCCAAAGCAAACTGACCTCCTTCTACAATGGCATTGGTCAGCCTGAGCTTAGAGGCAGCTCTTCGATAGATTATTTCTTCTATTGTATCTCGCCCAATCAAGCGGATAATTTTTACAGGCCTTAAAAAGTTTAAGAAAATTATTATTACTTACTTTGTTTTGAGGTGCACTAAGCTATTTACTACCCCCTAACCACTCCTTTGGTAGGTAAAGACAAGAACAAAATGAAAAAAAAATCAGCAGAAATGTGATGCTGATAGAATTCTGCCTTACACAGGAGAAATGCTGGCTGCAAAAGTGCAGGTGAACCTCCAGCCTCTGTCTCCCACTCCAAATTTACAAAGTTCCCACCCTGGATACATGACAAGGACAATACTGCAGATAGAAAATGAAGTAATAAAATCCTCTCTGCTCCCCTTTGATCTTCAATCTATCCTCATACCATTGCCTATGGAAAGGGAAGGTAATACTGAGAGGTCAAGAGAGTCAGCAACCAAACCAGAAGTAGTGACATTTCTCACCTGTGCTGCCCAATCCGGTGAGCTCTTGCTATTGCTTGCAAGTCATTTTGTGGGTTAAAATCACTGTCAGTGAAAATAACTGTATCTGCTGCTGTGAGATTCATGCCAACTCCACCTACAAACAAAAGAAGATCATAAAATATGTCACAAACAGAAAATAAAGGAGAGGTTGGAGAATTTATGCTGTGCAAAGTTCTGTCAGATCTGATCARCTGTATCTAATTCAATCCATCTCTCAACCCCAAATCTAAGTCTCAAAAGGATCTGAACAGATGGGTAAACCTTCAATTTCCAGCTTTCTGCAACAGCCCTCCCAAAAAGAAGCTGTACAATGCAATGTAATCAAAAAACATAGAGTGTGAATGAACCAATGCAAATGGGACTGATTGTCAAGACTGATGAAAACAGACATAATTCTTCTGCTGGCAGGCAGATTATCCCAGCAAGGACTGGTTTTCCTGAAGCCACAAGGGACTGCCCAAGTCATGACTTGGCTGCTGCATAGAACCAGCTGTAAATACACCACTGAAACAGTGGAAAACCAAGCCAAACTACACAATAACCAGAGGCCAGGTGTTTATATGACTTAAAKGTATTGAGGTTAGAACTTGGGCTCTCATGAAATGAAAAGATGAAAAAAAACAGTTAATTTTACTTTTTAAAATACCTCTATGTGACCATATATTGYAGTTGAAAAGGGGACAGCCTGCTGCCTTACATTTCTCCCAACTCATGACAAGACACCCTCACTGTAATCAGAATATTCCTGTGAATGGAGACAGTCATGAACAGGACAGCACCTGAAAATCTCTGTCCATAATCTAAYAGCAGTGGGAATACTGTTGGCACACCTGTTCCCAGCTGAATACAAGATGCTTTGACTAGACATAGCAATGTGCAGTACAAAACAACTCTAAGTCTGGCTGACATGGGCAGGGAGAGTTCAGGCACCRTGGTGAGAGACACACATACCCCTGACACCCAGAATTAGGGGCTTCCCTTCAGTCTCCCTGTGTGCTCCCTCAGTGCACTGTGGTGTCACTGGAGCCAGGCTCATCCAGACAGGTCTMACCAGAAGCCCAGAGGAAGACTTGGCACCAGTTTGATGTTTGAGACCAAGCCATGTGGAATCCTCCTCTGGAGACAAGCAGAAGCCTAGTTCTGTGCTTGTCTGAACAGAGAGAAGTTTGAAACTGTGTGGAAGACACAGATCTGCTCAGGGAGCAGAGAGGGGAAGAAGCACAGATGGCAGTCCCATGGAGCTCTCTGCAGTCTCAGGACARTAAAAAGCTCTCATTTCAGTATGTGTGTCAGCTAAAGAGCATGTCCATGTCTAGCAAACTTGAGAAGTAATTCCATCAGCTTACTTAAAGCTGTTYCTGCCTAAAATTTGATGCTTGCAGAAATAAAATGCTGGTGAGATTCCTTAAGCTCAAACTGGCACAGAGAMAGGCATTATGGAACTGGGAATAAAATAAACTCAAGAGGCTGAAAGAGGAAAAGATCTTGGCATCAGCTGCCAAAAGAAAAGCAAAGAAACCAGATGTCCTARATGAGAGACCTAAGTTCAGGATGTGTCCTGTCTCCCTCAAAAACCCCCACACAAACAGGCTCTGCAGGATTCAGAATTCCCTGAAACCTTGCCAGAGAGAATAAAATAAGAGTGCAGAAGCAAGACGGGCTGTTTGCCTCTCCTTACATACCTGCTCTGGTGCTCAACAGGAAGATAAAGATGGGCTGCTGACCAAAGTTCTTGATGGCAAGGTGTCTCTCCTCCCCTCTCACAGAGCCGTCCAGCCGCTCGTAGCTGTAGCCTTTCCAAACAAAYATGGATATTCCTGAAATTTGGCTTTTGCTTTTACCCTCTTACCTCATTTTCTATTGTCTCATTGCTCTCCTGAATCCTTTTGTGCCAAATCCTCCTGACTTGATTCTCATTTTATTGCATTCAACTCCTTCATTTTTTCCCAGTTAAACCTCAYATAAACTGAGGTAATGACCCTGACTTCCAGATTGACTGTTGGTAAAGAGTAATTTAGCTGAGTCTGAAGCAGAGACTCYTAGCATTTAATTTACTGCTTGGAAACAAAACAGGAAAATTCAGAGCCCAAGTAAAAGAACATTAGCACACAGTCTCATTTCAGACTATGCTGTGCTGGCTGTTGGCCYCACAAAGCAAGCCAACAACCATCAGATCCTCCTTATCCAAACTCCCACGGCCTTCAGTATGTGCTTTCCTGTGAGCAAGCAGTATGGGATATGGCACTACATTTGGCTTTATCCTACATTATTAGTCGTCCAAAACCATAAACACCAAACAAAAGCCTCTTTCATGGGAAATCCTAAGTAGGCATGGAGCCACGTGGATTGAAACAAAAGAAAATGTCCCAAGAATACATTGCTAACCTTGCCAAAAATGGTCTGATCCAACCTGCCCTYACAGACATGCTGGGGCCCCACTGTCAACAACTGTTTTAATCAAAAATTAATTTCCTAATATAACTGTGGCTGAGTTTGTGTTTTGTGCTGGACAAACTGAAACTACAGCAAGCTGACTGCTTGCTTTTACTGCAGTTAATTCAGGACACAGGTACACAATTGAACACAAATATATAACGAAACATTGCTACCCTCCATTTAATCAAGGCACAAAAGATGAAGCTGCTTTGAAGAACAACACTTAACTGCCTGTTGATTTCAGGAAGCTGGTAACAGCAAAGAGTTGAACTCAAGACCCTTCAACTCACATAGCCACTGCAGAAATATGGTCTCTATCTACTAAGAAGCAATAAATCTCCATCACATTCCTTTCTCCCTCCCAGGAAGATCAACCAAATTCAGAGGAACAATGTCTGGCAGAGATCACTATGATAAGCCCTCTCCCAACAAAGTGTGCAGAACATACCTCGATAGTCCATGTAGTCCTGCAGGATATCAAGCAGTTGAGTCATCTGAGAAAARAGCAACACACGGTGGCCACTGCAAGAAGAACATGAGATCTTGTGATCCTCAGTGTACTGTGGGAGCATTTCAGAGTGGTAGGGGGGTCACAATAGCTTAATCAGTCATTATTAGTCACTGTTACACCAAGCAAGGCTCATCATCTCTGTACATTAAAGCCTCCCAGAATCACAGCTCATTCCCTCACCACATTTTGAGCCCCACAGGCAAATGCAATCAGTTTAGCTTTATCTGCCACGATCATTTGCTGTGTCTTGGGTATGGAGTCATGAAGAAGTAACAAGGCTCTGGCACAGCTCTGCAGCTGGCTGGATACAGCCTGGTGAGGAYCCAAAGCAGTCTSTCTAAAAGGACCCTCAACTTCAGCMTAGCATGATGAGKTGTTCCTCACCATGTGACTGCTCTCAAATCACACACTAMAGTGCATCTGAAATACTGGGAAATGACCCTCAAGGATCAAACCCTACCTAGAAATGTGTGTAAAAAATTAACTYTTCTCCCTTCCAGCCCTAGGCCTCAGACAGTGCTCAGTTTAAATCTGACTTCACTGTCAAGCAGAACAGATAAATTTTYAAGTCCAGAATTTGCACAGGGCTGGTCCTGCAGCAAAGACATTCAATGGAGAGGCACCCACTCACAAGGTGCTAYACAACAAGACAAAGACAACACAACCGCATCAGAACTTCACAAGGGCTGCTGAAGCTGTCCTTTGGTCTTTGGGTTCCAGGTTCTGAACTCACCAGAGCACAACACAAGGTGTTTTGAACATCAATCCCAAACCTTCTGAAGTTTGGCTTATTTTTTTTTTTCTTTTTCACATTTGCCATGGATTCTGCCTCCCAGGCTAACACTGACATGCTAGCACAAAGAAACTCAACTGAAGCATTGGAATCCACTCTCAGGAAACCCACAGTCAAAGMAGATAGGCTGAATACCAAACCACAGGGTTATTGCCTCAGGATCACAAATATGGCAAACATGAGAGCGTGTGAGAGACTTAGTCAAGCGTTTTGAGAAATGCTGAAAAGCAAACTATAAAAATCTTCAAGGTTCCTCTACCATCTCCAATACAGCTTTTCATACTGAAATTACTAYTTTCAGGTAGTCAGCAACATGCAATCAATAGGTCWGTGCTYGTGTTGTGATGAATATCTGCTCAAKCCATGGCTAAATTAGGTAGTTTGCTTTCCAAGTTTATTTTTTCTCCCTATGTCAATCCCACCCCAGTGTGACATACCCATGATACAAGAACGAAAGGAGTTTATCCAACAAGCACATCTTGCCACTGGCTTCAACAATATGCTCTCCAATCTCAAAGGGTTCTGGTTCAACTCCTGGAACAGAAAGGAGTTTCAAAAGCAGAGCTAATACCATATAAATAACAATTCTGTGGTCCACCTCAGTGTGTCCCACTGCCACTATTGCCAACCAGAGCCCCATGATGCCTGCTTGAGAACTGATGGTCCTTCTCTATCTCTAAATTACATTCTCAGTAGTTCACAAAGCATTGTAATTTCTTTGTTTAGATGAGAGAAGACAAACAAATGGAAAGCTGCAGTCAGAAGCTCAGATTTCACACAGTTTCCTATTTCATTTCTCCTTGATGAACTGTCGTGTGTTCTGTCATGGAACTGGTTACAAACCCACAGCTGCTACTGATTCAAGTACAAGAGTGTTTATTACTTGCTTCTTCTAAGCATTACACTAATAATAGAAAACCACTGTATATATTAAGAAAGTTATTTTTTTCTGTTTCARGTGAGAGAAGTGCTTTCCTACCATTAAAGAGGTACGGGTGGGCAACACACTTTCGAAGCTGAATTAAGACATTCTGGAGTGTAACCTTTCTTCCTGTTTCATTTTCAAATGCATCTGAAACAAAGAGCACAGAAAAAGAACTGAGCAGGGAAGCCCATGCTCCATTAATAGGTGCAACTGGGAAAGTTTGGCACTAAGAACTGCCYTGAAGTGCTTCAGTATGTATTTCTCTCTGTGTATCACATCTGAATTTGAATTTCTCATCTCAAGACTAATACATCTGTTTTCATTGACCAAAAAGAAATTTTCCTCACACCTTTTGGACAAGCCTTTAGAAATAAACACTAAAAACCAGATAAACACTAGTAAACCCAAATTAACACTACTTGGCCTTGTCAATCTCACTGAACTTTCCAGACTCCCAGGAAAAGGTCACTGTAATTTTTCTAAGAGTGAATCATCAAAATTCATGAAAGAAATTTGGTGCAGTTCATTTGCATTTTCAAAAAAAAAAAACAAAAMAAAAAAAAMCCAGCACAGTCAAGATCTCCTGGGCAACCAAAGAGTTGCATTTTTGTGAGGAACAAAAGAAAACACTTGCACATATGCTGACTTTACAAGAAGATGAATGTTCAGATTTCCTGGGGATGTTCATGCAAAGTGCTGGAAAGCCCTAGAAGAACAAAGGATCTCCAACTCCCCARTTTTAATTTCCCTACGACAAGTAAGCACACACAAACCACATGATGGTAGTGGTTGCATTGTGTACATAGCCCTGTAGTTTCCAAAAAACTTCATATCTGCATCCAGTGGTTGAAATTTATTTTATGGTATCTGTGCTACTATTGGAAAATTTGTAGAGAATCACAGATCCAAAATTTCTTGTACCACCACTTTGTCTGAATACAAAAACATGCAATAGGAACAGGCTTACCTTGTGATAAGGATTTTTAATTACAGACAGATCCTCAAGCTGACCCTTCCTAGCTCTAGAATGGCTAAGCAATAGATCAATAGATACATCTCCTATTTCATCACAAGCTAAAACCACAAATTAAGCAGCCCTAAACACTAAATTTGGCATATTTATTCTGTACATATCCTGCAGGCCAAGTAACTTCTGCTCTACAACTGAGCATGCATGTACAGAAAGAATTAGTTGTGTTTTTAGAAATAGTTCATAGAATTCAAAATACTCAGTTACCTAAATCTTTTGTCAAAATGGCTTTGTAGTACTTCTTCTGCAGAGCTGACATTCCATGGTACAGAACCACTTCCACCTTCTTTGGCAGCTCTGCAGCCACCTCAGATTTGACTCTCCGAAGCAGAAACGGCTGCAGGAGACTGTGCAATTCTTTGGCTATGCAAAAGCAGGGACAACAAAACAAAACAAAACAAAACAAACAAAAAACCCAAACCAAAACAAACAAAAAAAAATGAGGCAAATACTGTGTTAAAGGTAAGGAATTTATACAATATCTTTACAACAACATTTTCAAAATAAATGTAAAAGGAATCTCACATCTACTAATAAAATTCTTCAAGYCACATTTTACAAACAGAGAAACCAAAGCATAGTTGCCAACCTGAAACACTTAGGAAGTACATGAAGGCAGCTCTTGCTTTAAAGTAATCATTATATTTTATGACTTTGTTTTAAAGTAGTCACCATTAAAAGAAAGCAAATAAAAGAGACATAACACAGTTGTTTCCTAGTTAAGATAAAAGCTGTTTTCTGACTGAAGTACAATGTTGCATATTACTGACCTGGCTCACTCTCCTTTTCAATAACTTGGTAATACTCAACAAACTCTTTCACTTGTTCCCTAGGAAAGATGTCAGGCTCAATAAAACTGAGTAAGGAGTACAGCTCCTGGAGGCTGTTCTGGACTGGAGTGCCCGTGAGTAACAGGCTGAAGCCTACTGAGAACTGAAAGAACCATGCAATAAAACAAAATTATTAGGAAAAAAAAATACCTGTAATGAAAAGTTAGTAAATATACAAGTCCACCCACACCATTCTTTACTTAAAAGATGAGAGGCAGCGCAGAACTGCTTGCAGAATGCTGCAGACTTGCCAAAACTATCCAAACATGAGGTATAGCGTGACAGTCAAACAGCTCCAAACTGACCTGGCTGGCAGCAGTGCAAGGAATTCAGTGCAAGCAACATAAGAATAAAGTGCAAAACTGACTCCATTAAAATGTTCAGATTCATGCAGTCTACAGTTTAACATTGTCTATTCCGTGTTAGATAATGAGGGATAAGGAAAATGCAGTAGGAATAGGACAGTGAAATGAAACTGCGTCACAATAAGTTCCATTTCTGCTCAATAGGTAACTCTGACAAACACAGCAACATTATCTGTTGCTTACAGTAATACYCATAAAGAGACTTGGGAAATATGTTTACCTTTGGAAATACACAAATTTCCCTCACATTTGGTAATAGGAAATGCATTAGGAAGAGAGCTAAGGTGAATCATGTCTACGTTTTTTTTCATTATAACCAAAGCTCCCTAATTACAGACATCATGGATATTATGCTCAGCATATGCAAGACTTCTGGGAATTCAATAAAAAGCCCCTATTTTCCAAGGTGTACTATTCAATAAAAAGCCCCTATTTTCCAAGGTAGTACATCGTTGCTGATGCCAGTACACACCAAATGCTGACGTTTCACTGCCATGACCAGAAGTGCAGCCTACACTCAGGCATTTGTGCTACTGTGGCAGGGTGCTTTGGAAGCTGGAGTMATTCTCCTAATTTCTGTAAACAAGGGTGGCTTCATTAAATGGGAYGTCAGTAGTTCAAGATTTGAGGTCCCCTGAGCTAGGCAAGGGTTCCTTCACCCTCCCAGAGCTGGAGATGGCCTCTTGTTGCTTAGGTCAGYCAGACTTCTACTGGTGCAGTAGCACAGCTGTGGTTCAGCACTTTGCCTGGCTGGTTTACATTTTTAAATCTCTCAAACTGCTCCAACATGGCAAGCCCAAACATGAGCTAGAACGAGAGGGAAGCTCCAAATACTGCCAAGCTCCAAGCAAAGCCAACAAAGCCTTTATCTCTCTGTCACTAAGTATGGAATTCTGTTTACCAGCTCTGATGGAAACGAGTTATGGTTCAGAGCTCAGTGTTCTRTCTCTGGTACAAACAGAGAACCTGAAAATGGGAAAAGTCTTAAGAGACTAGAAGATAGATTAGGTACTTTACCTCAGAAAGTGTCTTGTAAAGCAGAGAATTTTGATTTTTCAGTCTGTGAGCTTCATCTACAACCAAGGCAGCCCAGTTAAAGCTGAACAAATGAAAACAAGCATCCTCAGTTAGGGGCTGACAACTCATTCTTGTAAGTACAGAAAGACTGAAGTAAGTGATGGCTCTGCTTGGCTCAACTTGAAGTGGGTTTCCCTCTTWGCTATATCACAGTGGCTCTCCATTGCCTGAGAGGTCAAATGTCATTATTTCTACAAATGTCATTTATTCTACAAGCTCAGGAGCTGAATTGCAGAAGCACTTTGCACTGTGAAGCACTGCAGAGGCTCATGCACCAAGCAGAGTCTGATCCCTCCTCCATTCCATTAGAGCACTGCTCTTGCTCAACTCATTTGTTGTTACATTGCTTGTAAGGAGTAGTGGTGGTGAGACATCTGATAACTCTGACCCACCTTTACAAAGTGCTCCAAATGCTCCTACACAGGACAAGGTACAAATGATTAGCAACCACTTTTTTTTCAGAAGGAAGACTAAAGGGCAAAACCCTAAATTGGAGTGACATGGTTTTGATATTATTTGTTAGCTTTAGAAGTAGGAAATTACTCTGGAGTTGACATTTCTGTGGTACTAGGGCTGGCTACTTGCTCTCCCTGGGTGCTACATACCAGGGCTAAACTACAATAAACAGAATGATACACAGCAATGCAGAACATTATATGAAACTGAAAGGACAACACAGTCATGGTGTGACTTTCAGTAGATGTGGTTTCTACCATGATGTACAGCACAACCTGCTATTTCTAGCAGTGGCCAAGGACAGRTGCTTTCCTGAAAAACAGGAGGGTGCCCACTGTGGGCCTGACTAGGCCTGACAGACACAAAACTGTGCCAGTGGGGGTCACGGATTTCTGCTTCTCCAAAGATACTGAGCTACTCCCAGCATTTGTCACAACATCATTGCAACACATTGGCACTTCTGCTAAGAAAAAAGGAAAATTCCTCCCCACTTCAAGTGCAGACTCCATTACCTCCTACAGGCTGAATTTCAGCTGAATAATCAGTCTTTCTAGAAGGCATAATATTTCATAAGCCCTCCACAGCTCTCACTGGAGGCWATAAACTTCAGAATATGGTATTAGAACATTATCACTATTATATTATGTGGGTCAGTTTCAGTGAATTTTGCAACTAATACCTTTATAACCTGAAGCTCTGGAGAATCTCCTCTGCTGTACTGATTCTTAGTGTACTGCTGTAAGTCACTACTACAAAGCCTTATTGCTTTGAGTTAACTGGCTTGAAAACTGTCCTTGGGGAAAGTTCACATGTATCTTAGCTGACATTAAAGCTCCTTCACTCAAAGTTGGAAAAGGCAAAGCTCTAATCATGAGCCAAGAACATCCCTGTCTCTTGTGAAACAACACAGAATCTCACACATACAAACATCCACTTAAGCAACTGCTGACAGATATGCAGACTTAAATTTGAAAAARTTAAAACCAGACTCACGACTTTAGAAATGCTGCATCTTTCAGGCAAATCTGCAATGRAAGAAAATGAACTGTTAATTATGATTTAAGTAAATACATCAGTTAAGAAACAGAGCATTTTTTTATCTGCTTGCAAACTATGGTGAAATGGAGCAGAGTGAAATGAAGGCATTTACTAYCTGAGGAAAATAATGTGACAGCTATGTGACACCCTCAGAATGTTGTGGTTTAACACCACCCACAGCCACTCACTCACACTGCCCAGTGGTAGTGGGGGAACAGAACTGGAAGGGTAAAAGTGAGAAAACTTGTGGGCTGACAAGGCATGAACTGTGTGGTACAGAGGAATCAAAAAGGCGAGGAAAACTTGAGTCCCCCTTTCAAGTGACAAAGACATCACGTACCTCATATGTTGTCAGGAGTGCATGGAAATGAGAGCCCTCTTTCAGGTTCTCCTGCAGTTTGGGTCGCTCTTCCTTGCTGCCTATGTATGTKATGAAAGAAAGACCTGGAGCAAACCTGTTGTTAAGAGAAAGAGCAAAAACAGTGAGCTAAGCTAAATCTTTTCATGTGTTTATGACCCTGGACCCCATTATGAAACACAGCCACTGCACAGATAATGRGAACTCCTATCCAAACACCCTACACTCCCATCATATGTGTCTGGACCTCAGCTTTAAAATCTCACTCCTTCGTGATTTTCACCTCAGGCTGGCACTTCAGAGGTTGGCTCTAGTTTGGACATGTCCTAAATAAACCTGCAATCTTCTAGATGTCAGAGTCCAAGGTAGATGATTGAAAACCAGTCTCATGAYCCAGCTGCAATTCTGAAYTGARAAAAAGTTTGTGGRAAGCAGGTGAATGAATATAGTTRGCCCAGCTGAGGCCAAAGAATTGGYCKAAATCATACTAAAATAAAGAAAMAAAAYRTCTGCAGCAAAGAGATCCAAGTCAGAGCCTCAAAAATATACTCTCTCAGTCAAAAGACAAAACCAGTTCCAATTGTTGGGATCATAGAATTCTTCCTCATATAATCCCACCACTGTTATTTACCTCATATTTCTTCTATAGAGCCACACTGCTGATCTATGAAGGAATGCACTTTCCCACAACTATTCCAACTCTAAGTCTACCCAATCAGACAAGCTCACTTCAGAATGKAACCTGGATGACTTGAGATCCTGACAGACAGTATTGCCCAATGGTCACATAGACAGATTTCTCTTCTAACTTTTAACTTCACACCCTCCCTCTTAAAAAAGAATCAGTGGGCTCCAGACTAAAAATTCTGTACATACTGCAGACACAACAGATATACCATCAGCACAAGTCAGCCTAGTGAAGATGGGCTGCATGCACAGGCATGATGTATTTTGCATGCATGTGTGAGCATGCCCCCCAACTTGGGTCTTACCTTTCATCATAAAGATGCCTGGCTGTCTTCAGCAGATTTTGCCTAAGAGAGGCTGAGCATGRAGGGTTACAAATCAACAAAAAGCAAAGAGCCAGTGAAGCCATTTGGACTGAAAGACAGCCAATACTATAGGGTGGATGGATWAATGTATACCACAGCATTGTAAGACTATACATTAACTGCATAGTCTGCATTGATTTGTTGGTTTAGTAGCAGCTTCTCTTTTTACTTTTTATCCTTTTGAAAGGATAAAAAGAAWGTGTTGGAGTGAGCACATTTGAAAACAATCTTTGCAACTTGCTGAGYGAGAATATAACAAGCCAGACAACTGTTCAAACTTACCTCTCCAGTTCCTCCTTCCAATTGCTCAGAACTGACAGAGGACAAAGTATCAGAAATCTCTCTTTGTTGGATAATTTTTGTGTCAAATAAAGAAGTAGAGAAATGGTCTAAAAGGCAAGGAAAATAATTTTTTTATAGCAAGGGAAGGGTTCAACCCAATARCCTGATCCTTTATAATCTGTCTCCTTGTTGAGCTTTGCAGCTAGTTCCCATAGGTTCACTAGCACAAAGGAAACAGAATATCAAGTGGAATCCAGACAAAAAGGCTTTGATTCTAAAATATGACCTCAATATATGGAGCCCCTTTCCAAAGGCATTTCTTGCACAGTCACAAATGTTAGGGTTAGGGTTAGATCTACCATGCATTGCTTTTTAAAACTATTTGTAATTTAAGACCTATTGAATAAAATCAGCTGAGCCAATGACACAAAAAGTTATTTTCCAACAAAACTTAAACCCACTGAAAAACCTAAAAAAAAACCCAACAAACCTCTGAAAAATATTAGACCTATAAATTTTAATCCATGTGTTGACAAAAACAAAAATTACCTTGGTGCAGGTGCATCAAAAGGACATTATTTTCCCTGTACTTTCTATGTATTGTGCCTTTGACTGTGCACACTATGAATTATGCATTAAGGTATTTGTATAAAATGACCACTCATCCTTTTACAAAACCCTGAAACCTTTTTAGAGTGACTCAGGACTTGTTTTAATTGGTTAAAGAGTGAAAGAGACAATGAGCTCTCCCACTTGAGCATGGAATTCTAGATTGGGGGGGGGCGCGGGATAATCAGGGTGCTTTTTCTTTTTCATTCTGCAGAAACAYTGGGCTAAAAAGAGTTAGGCAAGGATTATTTTCCAGAAGAAAACACACCTGACAAGTCTTCCCGAGACCCATCTCATCACTCAGGATACAGCCATGCTGAACTTCATAACATTGCACCAGCCAGTTTACACCTTCTAATTGATAGGGACGAAGCTTTATGCCTGGGAATTAAATTCATTTGTTACATTTACAAAGTCACCCAATACATTCTATACAYAGTTACACTAGAAACAAGTCCTGCSCAGAACAAGCCTTCACAAWCATCTGCCTYACAGGAAAAGCACAGCAGCCTSCAGCAGAAGCTGGTTTAYCCTCCTGAAGAGCAAAGACCCCAATGTTACAGCAATTCCATTAAACTAAAGCATATTCAGAAACTTACACACACAAAAATGCCCCGAGCCATTGCAACAGACTTTACAAGGAACCTGATCTAATAATTAGGCTGCTACTTTGCATTCCTGAAAGACAGCTTGATTTTCATCTCCAGTCGCTTTTTGGAATATGTAAGTACTAGGTCCAGGGACACGCTTTAGGCTACCAGAAATGTTTGTCACAATCTATTACTGTATAACAATAATTTCTCTACAAGATGTTTTCCAGTTTTTGTGTACTTAAAGCTAGGGCAGACATCACCAACAGGCCACTGTRACTACTACCACCATTGCAATGCTTATTATGGGGCAAAATATGTCAAAACAAGTCACATAGGAGCTGGCAAGACCTTTCCTTGTATTTAGACTCAAGTGCTGTGTGTTGTGCTATTGCTGCCCTCTCCTCCCTGGGAAAAAGTGCACGAAGAGTGCATGAAGCAACTCACCAGCCCACAGGATACACAAACTCAAACCAGCACGGGGATTAAGGACTTCCAGCAGCTAAGGGAAACGTGCAGGCAGGGTAGACTGCCCTTTAGTATCATCCTCCAGGCAGYGGAAAGCACTTTAATTCATGCTCAACATCAGCCTATTTCAAGGCCACTGAACAGGCCAACTCTCGTTCATCTTGTCCTGCAGCACAAGGCTGTCCAAGGCTGTGTTGAGGCATTAGGGAGGTTAAAGCTKGGCTCAGCCCTGGCTCCAACACACACTAAATTCACAAAGCCAAGGAGAAGTTCTGCAGCAGCTGGGGAAGGTTCACATGAAGCAGTGAGCATGGCAGCAATGCCATCTCTGCAGCAGCTACAGCTCKCTTGGACACGCTAAGGAGCCACTTTATTTACACCTTTATTTATTTCTGGCCTGGGGCCTGTTATTACAGAGCCCAGACAGTTCCAGCTGAGARAACTGGGGTTGTTCAGGCTGGAAAAGGGAAGGCTCCGCGGTAACTTAATTGTGGCCTTTCATTTCCTGAARGAAACTTACAGGAAACACGGGGCAAGACTGTTTACTATTTACAAGGAAACTTACAGGAAACACGGRGCAAGAGCCTGTAGCGACAGAGCAMGGGGGAATGGGTTCMWATTGAAAGAAAGTATGTTTAGATTCGACMTTAGGAGAAAATTCTTTACTGTGAGGGTGGTGAGGCACTGGCACAGGCTGCTCAGAGAAGTTGTAGATGCCTTGTCCAAGGAGGTATTCAAGGCCAAGTCCGTGGGTCTTTGGGCAACCTGGTCTAGAGGGAGGCGTCCCTGTCCATGGCATGGGGTTGGAAGTGGACAATTTCAAGATCCCCCTCCAATCCAAGCAATTTTACGAGCGGGGCAGCAGCAGGCAGCGCGGGGCCGCTGGGCCGCCTCCCGCCATCTCAGCCAGCRCCCACCCCCTGAAGGCACTGCCGGCCCTTCCCCGGGCAGCCCGCTGACCTGTCAGCCCCCACCGCTGCACGTCCGCCTCCTGCACACCGGCACCGCCGGCCCGGGCGCTGCCGGAGCGACGGAGAGCCTGGAAGAAGCGGGACATGGCGGGATGTCAGTCAGCCTCACCGCCGCGCCGTTCCCGCCGCCTCCGCYGKCTGARGGCGGAGCRAACCCCAACCCCGCCCCGGCAGCGKCAGGAGGGTTCCCCGGGAGGGAGTATCGTGATGGCGCCGCTGCTGCTGCTSCTCCTGGCGCTGCTTCCCGCRGCTGCCGCGGTGTACCTGTGCTTCGTGCGGCGGTACACGGGCAGCGCAGGGGCCGTGCTGCACCGCCGGGGGCCGCGCCATGCCGGACCGTCTCGCCCGCCTCAGGACACGGTGAGCGCCCGGCCGGGCTGGGCTGGGCGGGGGGCGCGGAGCGGCGGGACCGGCGCTCACCTCTCTCTTGTCGCCTTCTCTCCGCAGTGGGCTCCGCGGCTGTGCGGCGCCGGGCTGCGCCTCTTCGTCCATGTGGCCAACACGGTGAGTGCGGACAGGGAGGGGAAAGCCGGGGACGCTCGGGGTTCGGCGGGGAGGTTGTGGTGGCTCTCGGGTTCAGCCGGTCCTTCAAGTGTGGAGCTCCGGCTTCTGGTCGAGGGTGTGTGGTGGGTCCTGTGTGCCTTGGGTGTGGAGAGCCCAAATYTGACACCAAAACTCGAAATTAAGCTACCACCAGCTTTCCGTGGATGTCAAAGGTGCCTCAGCTCTCTGAGGGGAGGTTTCAGCAGGGTGCTGAAGGCAGCTGTGCCCAGGTGCTTCCCTCGGGTGGCTCTGGCGTGTTTGGAACCCCTGCTAGGACCGCCGGGTGTCAGGGTGCAGGGGGGAGAAAAACCTGAATCCCTTGGGCACTGCCCACCCTGCAGCAACTCCTGCTGAAAGCAGCTGCGTTCGGTTGCTGCTGCTGTTGCTTTTGAGTATCAAGGTAGGCACAAAAGTTTCATTTCAGCCGTGTCACCTGTTACAAAGGTTGGTGTCCGGTTGCACCTGGAATGAAGGCCTGATGGGCTGTTTTTATTTGTGAGAATACCTCGGCAGTGCCTTTCTGTCAAGGTGTGACCACAAAATTCCTTGTTATCCTTTGCTTTCTGGCTTCTTCTGGTGTATGGCGAAAGGCTTGTTTTCCATCCTAACGTCTTCCTTGGAAAGGAGATGTGAGATTCTCAGTCTCCTACAGGATTGTGCTGTGATAGATTAGRTATAGATTAGGAGCCCTGTGTTTTCGAAAAGGTGCTGTAATTCTTATGCAATGTGTGAGGTAACATACCACTTTGTGGGACTAGCAGTGTGAGCCTTGCTTCAGACTTGTGCTTTATTTGTACATCCCATAACATGTTTCTGAGCCYATTGTTGAGATATTAAGGCAGGCTAGAACAAGGCTGATCTCTTTGGGACTGCTGATGCTGCTATGCTGGGAGCCAGGGCATTGAAAGAGTATTTTCAGCTGTCTGCTACCACACACTCTCTACATTCTCACACTTTTCCAAGTTGACTCGTTTTGTTGCAGGAGCTGGTTGAGACACAGGAAAAGTCCTAATAGTGTGGTAAATAAAATAATAAGCTCCTACCTTATCCAATAAATCCATAGTCTGTGGAACATGAAGAAAATTACAGCTGGAAGCTGTATAGATGCTTCCTAACAGTGGTGCAGCTGCAGATGTACCCATTTTGTGTGAGTCAGGAAAAAGCAAAGGCAGAAGAATCAGAAGAATACTCTTTTAATAATTATATGAATATGAGAGATGGGGGGGCATTTCAAGTTATTTTTATGGCCTGAAATACAGGTGTTTGTGCTGTTTCTTTGCTGCATAGCATTGCATGCTCTTTAGGGTGCTCTGAGCCTGCAGCAATCGTGAGCATATTCAGCTTTTCTTGTCTACTGAAGAAGGTGTTCTGGTCAAAGTTGCTGCAAACCAATATTTTTGCTTGCTTTTTTCCTAGGCTTTTGGACAGATCTGCTTACTGCCATTCTTRATGAGGTAAGAGCAGGAAGTTTTCTCCCACTCTGAGTTTATTTCTTTTTTTTTTTTCTGTTTAAGCTACTTGCATTGCACACTACTTATAGGTTATTTGAAATCACATTTTTTTTAAGAGAAAGCTGCATAATTTGATTGGAGAGGGAGCAAGATTATTTCATAATGTTTACTAGATTATTCTTTTAACTACAGTCATTTGAGTGGGCCTCTATAAGAAGAAAATAACCTTTTTTCACACTCATGCAGGTGCATAGAAACTGTATTCACCAGCTTTCCTTTTTGCCTTTTGTTTGCCTTTGTGTGTCTTTGCCTTTGCCCTTTTGTTGAAGGACAATCTTGTTTTCAAAGCTGGTGGATGTGCAAATATGCTGTGTTTATCACTAATAGTGTTGAAAGAATAGTAGTTGTGGGGAAGTGAGGCCAGACATAAAGTTCAGAGTTTTTTTTTAAGTTCTTTTTAATGATGAAAAATTTGCTATTTTAGCCTTTCCTCTTTCTTGCACATGTGTTTTTGTTCAGAAACTGATTTCAAGTCTCRGTTGCACTAAGAGACACTTGGGTAAGAGGTACAGGAATCCCAGGCTCATGCTTTCCTCACATAGTTTGCCAATCGTTTGAAAGGTCATCTATGCAGATCCTGGGACACTGAGACCTGTGTTACCCCTGAATTTTACTTGGAACGTGGGCTTTTTGAGCAGATCACACCCAGRCAAGTGTCACTGGGATTACACAGCAGATCATTTCTAAATAAATATCTGTGACAGGGCCTTGATTTCCTCACTTTATGTGGTCCAAGCTATGAATTTATGCTGCAATCCCTGTTGAATCTGATTGCAAACAAACTATGTTGAAGCAGGTCATGGAAAAGTCTGAGGAAGTGCTTTTTTTAACAGGATTAATGGTTGAATGTATGGCTTGTGCTACATTCCCCTTTTATTTTCCTCTCAATTCATGTCTTCTTTGGTCTTGTAYGAGAGCTCTAATTCAAGTGAATCAAAAACTTTCACCATTTCTTTCCCAGCTTAGGTTTACAGAAACTGGCTGGCCTTATGTCAGGAGGTAGGAGGCTTTGTTAAGCAAGCTGAATACATTTGATGCTGCCTTTAGGAAARATGTGAGAGGGATTAGCTTGTAACTGTTGCAGCTCCCTGCTGTGAAAGCAGACTGCTAASACAAAATGTTCTTGGGTAAGGTTCCTACAGAACAGTCTGAAAAACTAGTCATGGTTGAGGTTGAAAACTCCAGAAGTGACTCTCTCTCATTCAGGATAAACAACTTCTCGCTTATGCGTTCCCTTGACATTCATGAAGATCCCACATTTATCCCAGAGGTTGCTGCAGAGGTTGTGGAAGACGAGTCTGAGGCTAAAAGCACTTCAGATGTTATCAAGCAGCTGACAGATGCAAGGTCAGTATGTGATGTGTAAGAGARAAGTGGAAGAACACACGTTTTGGCACCGTTACATTAGTGGAAAGCTGTCATTGTCAGCAATTTAAATTGAATTCTTGTTTCCATGCCCAGCCACTTCACAAAACAAATAGTGCTGTCAGTCATCTTGCCTTTTGTAACCTATAAATCACCAGTAATTACAAGCAATGTGAAAAAGAAAAGCTTAAGGGTGTCTGCCTATTAGGGAGAGACCAAATTCTGCCCTTTGCAGGGCTCTGGTTGCACTATTAGAGCAGATACACTTAGTGTTTGGCTTGTCAATACATAGATCCCTTTAAGTGACTTTACAGGAGTGCTGTTTCTRGCCTGCAGGGAATCTCAAAGAGAGCACCAGGCTTGCTTGGAGAAGGACCACAGTTTTTAAAGAAAACTATGCACAATAAATTAGCTTTATTAATGATGAGAAATGGTCTATTGCTTATGTGGTAGAGCCATTGGCTTGGTGTTGAAGCAGTTTGCTGGTGTGTACCTTGTGTGTGCTGCGTGGTGCCTTTTCCCACTCCTGCACCACACACCAGATGTGCTGCTGGTTGTCTCTGGATCCAGAGGACCTGGGAGTAGGTTCACAAGTATATTSCAGCTAGCCTATAATGTTGCACTAGTGAGCAAATGCAAACCTAGAATACATTTTGAACAGTTTAATGATGCTGTATTTCAGTAAGAATATGAACAAACCTAACATACTGGCAAGACTGCTTCCTTATTTCTGTAGCATCCATAGTGTACCTGTTGCCTGGCTTGTGTGCAAGGAGTCTGACAGACTCCTTGGGTTGGCAATCCACATGGTTTGCTGCAAATGATACCCTGGACAGTGATGCTGGAGTCTGTAGGTCTAAACAAAGCTGGCTTTGGTGGCTCACAGTTGCCCCTTTAATCCTTTCTTTTTCTGCAGGTCTGATGCTGCTAGGAACGGGTTTAGTTTCAAAGGGATCAAAGACTATCTGGAATGCTATAGGTAGGTGAAATTATGGTCTGGAAACAACCTGTCCTGCATGTTTGCCTGCTGTGGACTGCTACTCTTCCACTGGTGCTCAGGCATTTCTTTGTGAGCATTGTCCTTGAGGTGCCACTGTTTATCATCACTTCTGCCATTCTTTCCCTTTAGTAGAAAAACAAAGGAAAGTCAGCTGAGAGAGCTGGTGCAGCTTTACAAGCCTTGCAAGGATATTTAAATGCCATTTTCTTTGGCTTATTGTCAGTCTTATCTGAGAGAGATTTCTACATATCTTGTTTGCTCAAACACGAGTGAGAAGTAGATGAAGGTTGATCTGGATTATGCAAGTTGTGCATACTGKGTGTCTCTGATGAAYCCTTTGTTCCTCAGCTCCTTGTGCTTAYCTGAGCATGACACCTGCTTTTACCCAATAAAGGTGTCCATCATGGAAAGAGCAGAAAACACACCCCTGACTCTGGTTCCATGAGCTATGTGGTTCCATGTGGTTCCTGGTAATCGTAGTTGCCTCTGGGACATGTGCCAGATGTGGAGCCCTTGGATAAATATTCTTGGACTCCTAGTGCTTGTTCCTCAAGGGCCACCTCTGCCTGCAGCCTGTCATGTTGGAGCAAAGGGCTGATACTGCAGTAAGGTGTTACAGGTGCCTCCTGGCTGCAAGGCTTTTGTGTCAGCCACAGATGGTGTGTTTGTGGTGTAACACAGCCTTTTTTAGGAGGAAGGGAAGGTTTCTTGAAGGTGGGTTTATGATGCTACTGCTGGGAGTCCCTTCTCTGTAATGAGAGGTCTGTATAAAGAGGTCTGACCTCTGGATCTTAGTTCATGATATGAGGAGTTTCATATCTTCTGAGCTTTCAGGAGCTTGAGGACTCTCACTAAAGCTGTCACCTGTTTGTCCCTATTTATCTGTCTGGTGGTTCAGGAATATCTGGGTAACTCWCCTAGCTTTTGCCCCTGCATTCTATGTAGGCAAATTCTCCCCCTAAGGAAAAGAATCTTCTGTCTTTGTGGTGTTCAGATCATCACCAACAGAGAATCTTTCCTAATTGTTGCTTAAAGCTGTGACAGCTGCCATCTTGCTGCACAGGAAACAAACCCTGTATGTGGATGTGATGAGGGGAGATCTTGTAACAAACTCCCAACTTCTGTCTTGTAGGAGTGGGAAGCTGACACCATCCCAGGTAGCCAAGAACATCATTGCCACGTTGGAGGACTCTGACAAATACACACCCCCACTCAGAGCCATAGTGCAATGGGACAAGGAGCAAATAATGCAGGTAATGTCTGCCTCTGGTAGGAAAGGAGCCTCTGCCACCTCAAGAGSAGKAGCATCCMTTAGAAGGGGCAGAGACTCTTCTGSTKATATATTGTGCAGAAAAATAAGTACATTTTTCCTTGCTCTGTTTTTAGAGGACTACAAAMAAGTTTCCTTYCTGCAAAGAAAGGTAGCAATAAAGCAATCTGTTTCGTGCTGATGACTGTTTATAATGAGCCTTCTGTGCTTATATGGCATCCATTGGTATAGATGGCTCCAAGTAGTAGTTTCCCACCAGCATATGGTGGAAGAAGAAGGAGACTTTGATAGGCTGGCTAAGAAAGCCATTTTTGATATCCATTCTGATACTGGTGATGACCTTCAGCTCAGCTAAAAATGTATAACATATGCTTTATGCCTTTTTTTCCTCTGTGCAGATGGCTGAGGCCTCCACTGCTCGTTACAGGAATAAATGTACCCTGTCTTGTCTGGATGGCATCCCAGTGTGTCTGAAAGAAGAGTTCAAAGTGGTGAGTTTCTTTGTCTGGCTGCCATTTCATGCTGCAGGTGGTTAACATGAACAATTCACTGCCACAAGGTTTTAAGAGCAGCTCCTCAGCAGAAGCATGAGAATATGTTTGTAATGAGGGGTAGTATGTGGGTTTGCAGTGAGTAGGATTAACAAGTTTTGCAAGGTGAAGACAGATTTTCCATAGAGCAGACATGTTCCTTATCTTGCACTGATCTCTTTAATCCATGGGGAATAGAGGGTGGGTGTGGGAAACAGTCTCCCATGATAAAATGGGAATGSATAAAAGCATCTGCACAGTGGGTGTAACTGTCTGTATTTCTCAGGCACTGACTGTTCCATTGGCAAAGCATCCCTCTCTCCTTACATTAATATACATGTGTCAGAAATATGCAAGCTACTTTGAAAATCCCTACTGACAAGGATTTTTACCTGTGGCCTAACAACAAMTACCAGTAAATATTCCTGAGAGTGCCATCAGGCTGTTGTGGGCTCTGCAGAGAYCTACCCCTAAGGTGGGAGTCCTGTTTATGTACAGATTTTTCTATTGCTGCCTCGAAATAAAGAGTACTTAGCATACCCTGAAAATAAGTCCATGTGTTATTTTGGCATTCTGCTAACTTTGATGTCTGGCATCAGAGCATCCAGATCTGAAATGCTGTAGCTCTGTCCATRGAAAGATTGAACACAGAGCTGTGTGCTGTGGTGATTGTTCTGCAGCCTCTGGGCATAGCAATCACATTGCTGCAGGGAGGCAGACTTTGTGACCATCTACATGTTTCTGCTCTTCTGTATTGTGGTGTGTAAAGGACTTCTCTACATGGGAGAAGGACCAGATATTGAAGAATTAAGTGTCTCTCCTATCAGAGACCAACACAGGACAAGTTGAAGAGTGACACTTCCTAGTCCTTACTTAACTCCATGGATTGTATTGTCTGGGATCTGTTGTGATGTTGAAATGTGCATATGCACCTTGCCAGGGTTTTAGAATGAATAATGAAGTGTCTTCTTGCTAAGGTACCTTACCATCACCGAGTGGGAACAGTGTATCTTGGGACAAAGCCAGAAACAGAAGATGCTACTGTGGCCAGGAAGCTGCGAGAGGCTGGGGCTATCATTATTGGGGTCTCAAACATGCATGAACTRGGGACTGGAACAACTGGATGCAACCCTAATAGGTAAAAATCYCTTTCCTCTCTCTTCCCCAAGTCTAGAAATACCTATGACTGTCAAAARCTGACAGGGAAGGGTACAAAAATAGTGGCAAACATGTGAGAAAAAAAATGGAAGCATGAGAGAACCTTGGGGGCATGAAAACCCAGCATTGTAGATTTGAGGGTCAAAACAGCTGTGGAAGCCTGGAGGCTCCTGAAACCAAAGGAAGGAGAGGCTCCAAGTSTTGTCTGCTGAGTAAGGAACTTGGTTTATCAGGCCTGTAGGTGTGAATGTTTATAGGATGAATAGTAAACAAAAGCTGTGACAGAAGTCAAATAAATAGTCATGTAATGCTCAGCCTCAGTGATGGCTGAAGGCCTAGAGTAGTGAGAAGAAGGTACAGTCATCTCAGGAGAACAAAGTGGTTTTATTTCCCAGCTAAAACAGGTTCACTGAATTTGCTTTACTATGGTGAATTCTCCAGCTATAGCCAAGCTGAGAACTCACTYCCAGAGCAGTGGTGCTCATGGCCTTGATAACCTTGTTTAGAGCCATACTTGGTGCATGTGCAGCTGGCTGGAACTTGGGCTCCCCTTTGGCTGCAGCAGTGTGCCAGCGTTTCCTGACCATGTGAGGTCAGCTGGGTACCCAGGGGCTTGGCAGGGCTCTGCTGGCTGGGGGCTGTGCTCAGGCTGGAGACTTGGGGAGCTGCTGTGTGGGGATAAAGGGCAGAGCTGACCTCCTTATCTGTCCAACTGCTCCACCTTTTGGAATTGCATAATGCACTATGGCAGGCAGTAATGGCATGGTGCCATTGCAGACAGAAGAGCTGAAACTGCATCTTTTCTCTTGCTTTGGGCCTGTCTCTTTTGGATAGGCTGCTTATGCTCACAGGGGACAGGACTCGGAGGCAGAATTCTTTTTTGCACCCTGTTTTCTAGGGACATGGCACTTTATGAGATTAAATAGCTTCTCCTTACCAAGACATCAAACTCCCTGATCTGTGTCTCTGGATCTTTACCTGCCCTGTAGCGCACACAGTCCTTCCTAAGTAAAGATTAAACCATCTTTGTCTACTTCAGGTACCACAAGATCCCTAGGAATCCCTACAAGCCTAACCACTTCACGGGTGGGAGCTCCAGYGGGTCAGCAGCAGCTGTAGCAGCAGGTAGGTGGTCCTAAATGGAGGTGGTGGGAGGAAGGTCCTGAGCCAGAGTACCTCAGGCATTAAGTTTTTATTGGGGGGGGTTAGATGCTGGAGGGAATTTCCAGCCTAACAGAGAGCTCTGTGTGCTGTCTTGGATACAGCTGCTGGTAGAATGGACAAGGCAACRTGATGTGTCTCTGATCACTGGCCAATGTGTGGGTTTTTTGTAGGTCTCTGCCCCGTGGCTATTGGCACAGATGGAGGAGGCTCTGTGAGGATTCCTTCTTCATTCTGTGGTGTGGTGGGGCTGAAAGGTAAAGCCCTTTAATCCTGGAGGGGTGTGTGTTTGTCTTGTTTGCTGTTTCAGATCGAATGCCATAAACAAGTCAGGCACTTGTTTACTAAGTAAAATTTGACTGGAGAAACTCTGAAATATAACACCCTGAGAGCCATGAGGGTTGGATTGGCAGCCTGGAAATATTCACTACTGTCTGTTGAACAGATGTTCAAAAAACCTAACTTACTTATGTCAAATGCTAAACAAAGTATGCGTGCTACTTTTTCTTTCTACCTTTCATCTGAGACCAGATACTCAGCCATTACTCTCTTTCCATCCTTTATATATGGTCACAAATCTTGATTCATCTGAGGAAGATAATGATGATAACAAAATGTAACCAGTAAAAAGGTGTTACGAGTTCCTGCAGAAGATAACTGGTGTTAGGCATGAAGCCTTACTGGTGAAGAGGTGAGACCTCCCATAGGGTGCTGTCTCCTGCTGTTGATAATCCTGCTCCTGTCTCTCTGTCCATCGCATAAATGCTGCTTCTGCATATTTAAATACAAATATTCCAAAATGTCCCTAGACATATTTCTCCTCAACTAAATAATTTCTTAGGGGGAAGCCAATTTCACTAGTTCCTTGAATACATGTGTTTCACTGCTGAGACAGTGGTCAGCAGAACAGGGTACTGAAGGATGAGAGACTGGGCTCTGAAACAGCACCCATAAGAGTGATCAGCAGGGGTCTGTTGTTTACCCTGGCTCTTCCCAGTGACACCTGACATCCAGCTAAGTCTCATTTCTTGTTCCTCAGGTACGTTTGGGCGGATCAGTTGTCATGGCAGCTTACCCCTCTCCTACTCCACAGTCAGCGTAGGTAAGAGGACTTGTGCTCCAMTTCAGGGATCTTGCTGTGTGCTGTTCCCACAGCGGGGCAATCTCTGCCTAGAAAAGACCTCGGTAGAAAAGTACTATTTACCTCTTGTCACCTTTTTATCACTGATCTTTTTTACAGGCCCTATCTGCACATCAGTGGCAGATGCAGCCATTGTTTACAGTATCCTTGCTGAGCCAGACCCGCTCTATCCCTATGGTAGGTGAGCCCTCTCCTTCCCTGAGCCCAGAGGTTTTGTCTCCCTAGAGGCATCCTAGAAAATAAGGAGGAACTCTTCTTTGTTCCCTGCAGGACTAAAACAGCCCAAAGCAACCCTGTCTGATATGTGTGCTCCTGACCTGAAAGGCTTAAAACTGGGAGTGGACTGGACATATTTTAAGGTGCCTGGTTTATCTCTTATCTTTCTGCTGCTTTGCAAAATAAGAATTTTAAAGGAGCCCAGTGCATTCATTGCTCTCTTGCCTGTCTTCATTAGAGCTTCTYATATTTAGTCCTATAGTTGGAAGATAATATTGCCTGTGTGAAAACATCAATATGGAGGTATTTTTTTCTAAGGCAGCCTTTCGAATAAGAGTCTGTTGGAGGCATGAGGAAAAGTAATGACTGCTGTTGATTCTGTTGGAAGAAATGCTTCTGAACTGATTACAAAAGACAGTTAGTTTAAAATCAAATGAGGAAAAGGAGTGTATCTGCTTGGTGACAGTGCTGTAGCTGCTGGTACAAATTTGGCTTGCAAGCTAGTACTGCTTGGCAATTGTAATGCAACCCCACAAATGCGCTCAGGATTTCTTCCTGGAGGTGAAAAAAACCTTACTGGCTCTGCCACAGTGCAGAGGAGGAATATCCTCTCCTCTGGAAAAGATRGCCTTTCTTTTTCCTTAGGGGTGTCACCTGCAAGCTGTTCTCTTGCAGCATRTGACCTAAGGCAATTCTGTAGGATTGTGTTTCACTGCTGTTAGGGACAGGAACTAGGAAAGCACCATGAGGACTGAAGTCCTGGTGAATGTGCTCACCAAGAAGAGGAGAGCAGTTATTAAAGTCTACTTAGTTATTTCCTCTTGTTCTTTAGGCATGTGATGCTGAAGTGCTGTGCGCCTGTGAGAAAGGTAAAGAGGAAAAGTCTGTAAGTCTCTTTTTGTGCCTGATGTTACAGTGTTACTCAGTACTCCTCTTATGTATGCATTCAATAGATCTTGCCTAAAGTTCTTAAAGGCAGTTGCTTAAAGGGGTCTGGCTGGATAAACAGCAGTAGCTTTGTATTAGGGAAGCCCCCCCTGACTGCTGAGCATTAAAAAGCTCAGCAGTTGTAGGCTTGTCAGATTACAATGGAAGAATGCAGTCCAGTGTGCTCAGCCTCTGTGTGTATAAAGACAGATCTGTGCTTGGTAATACTTACTCTGCAAGCTTTAATGGTTAAAGACTTTTAAGGGAGGGCCTTGTGTCACAATATAAGGCTCAGTAGTAATACAGTGCTAGGTCTTTGTGACGTACCCAGTCCTCTGGTATTTCCCTGAAATCAGCCAAATGGTGCCTTTAGGGTGGCTTTGTCAGATTTTAGGTGAAACAAAATACACCCTGGTACTTGGGGGTTGGGGAGAGAGCCTCTACAATGCCTAGTATAGTAGCTGGTCTCCTTCACTGGAGCTGAGATAGTTCCCAGTATTCAGGCTTTGCCTGGATTTTCTTCACCCTCCGTATTTCCACAGACACACTTCTACATACATAGAGTTTTCTTAGGAGAGATGGACCACAAGCAAGTTTGGGTATTTATGAAAGAGTTGGGGGTCACAGAAAGGATTCTTTTCAGGCTGCAAAAGATTCATTTTTCTTAAAATCTTGGTATTCAGCCTTGTTAAAATGCATCAGGATTTAATGACTTTGTATTGTTCACCTGGTCTCTTGAGTATTCCCTGGTTCCTCTACCATAATGATTCAGAAGAGGCTTTGAATGGGAATCTCATGATGCTAAATAAWCACTTCATGCTGATAGAACATGGTCATGTGAAGTGTTCAGGGAACATTGTCCGTACACGTTTTACTCCTTGGCTTAATTGTGAGGCTAGAGGGACGAGGTGAATTTGCCTGAAATACAGCAGGTAACTGCAAGCCCCTGCCCTGTTGGAATAGAGGTGTAGTTAGGTTGAAAGCATTTCCCTCRGAGAAGCAGCTGCAGCAGTGCTCATCMTGTGGTGCACTGAAGATGTGGCCTATGGGGTTTCTCACTCTGCAGAGGTTGGRGATTTTTTTTCTGTGAAGTCTGGTGAACTCAGGGATGCTATCTGTGATTTACCTGTCCTGTACACAGCCGTGGAGCACCTGCAGAGTTTGGGAGCCAGCGTGGTTGAAGTCTCTCTTCCAGAGATGGAGGAAGCACGAGTGGCTCATGTGATCTGCATTCTCAGTGAGATGAGGGATTTCCTGCAACCTGACTTCAATAAACATTTCTATGAAATGGTAAGTAGCARCAGCTTGGAGCAGTGTCAGTAGTTGTCCTGGCTGATAAAAAACAAATGTCAGTGAGAAACCCAAGGTTCTCCTGCTTCTTCTGACAAATTACTTGTTGGATGACTACTGATACAGAAGAGCAGATCTGGAAGAGAACTCCTGGGCTGTCACAGTTTCCTGCAAGCAGAGCTTTGATTGGTGTTTTTTATTTCAGAATTTGGAAACCCGGGCTAGCCTGGCCTTGGCTTCCCAGTTCACAGCTCTGGATTATATTAAGGTAAGGAACATASTGGGGTGAAGGCTGAAGGGAGGCACCTAGTGAACCTGTAAATGTGGGGTAGGGGCTTCTCTTAGCCTCCCCATACCTGTGAGAAGATGTCACCCAGCTCTAGCTGCCCTCTGCTGTGAAAGCTGATGGTGGGACACCACAGAGGACATGCCACCTGTCCTGTATCTTGATTCCAAATTGCAGGAATGGTGTCTTCTTTTGCAAAGGTGGAGACACTGATAGGCAGAGTSCCAACATCAAACATGAATTTTGTCACCCAAGAGGGCCCAGTGAGACAGTATTCTCTCTGCTTGCAGGCAAATCGACAGAGAACTCGAAGCATGAGATTTTTGCAAGAGATCTTCAGCACTGTGAACTGTATCCTTACACCAGGTATTGGCACACTTGGCTAAAGAGCCAGTCTTCAACAGCTGGGGGTGCCTTTTGAAAAGTCACTTCATTAACTTCTCCTCCTCAATTTTAAGAGTGTGATTTTCATGCAAACACTTTGCTGTGCCTCACACCTTTAGAGGATAATGCAGCCTTATTAGAAAGACTAYTGTGTATTTCTAGACTTAGTGGTTGTATCCATGGCACTGCATCAGGTTKCCCAGAGAGCTCATGGAATCTTCATCTCTGGGAATATTTAGAAGCTATATGGACATGGCCATGAGCACCCTGCACTAGCTGACCATTCCTGAGCCAGGATAAACAATATGACTTCCTGAGGTCCCTTGCAAATTCAGTCATTTTGTGATTCCCCCCACAGCTGTTCCTTCTACTGCCCCAAGAATTTATGAATCTGACCTCTTGACTGGGAGCAGTGATATGTCCTTCACAGTCCGGTCCATGAGGTAAGGAAAGTGCTACTTGTGCTACAGAAACACAAGTTTGGGAACAGCTGGAGAAGAAACTTAAGACTGTGAGGCAGGAGAGATTAATCATAGCTGCCTCTCCCAAAAMCAGATTAATTTGGTGCTGTTCCAAAGCAGGAATACTGATGACAGTTTTTTTCCCATAGGTTCATGCAGCTTGGTAACTTCACTGGGATTCCAGGCCTTGTAGTCCCCATTGGATATTCCACTGCTGGGCTTCCTATTAGTCTCCAGGTGAGTGATTTGCTCTTTGTGAATGCTGGGTCACAAAATCCCCAGCTGGCTTTCTCCTSAAGCACCATAACCAGGTCCCTGCTGTTCCACACAGCTCACTTGAGGAGCTAGCAGGTACTGGAAATAAAAGCTTTAATTTAATTTGCCTCACTCCTGAACAGCAGAGGGTATCTTTGAGAMWGATTTCTCTGTCTCYGTGTCTRCTTGCATCAATACCCAGTAGTGGTMACTACTTTCCTCTCTTCTCATTTCTGTAACTTGTTCAAATCCTGTTCTCTTGAAACAGGTCTCATGTAAAGGAAAAGTCTATGTCTTGTAATTGAAAGTCACAAAGCTGTCTTTATCCTAAATACAGTGATGCCATACTTAACTGGGGTAAAAGGGGAAAAGGTGTCTTTTGGGGATGTTGAGGGGGGGAAATTGTTTCCACGTCTTTCAAGAGTATCTATATGTGATGATGCTCCTTTTAATTTGTCCTTGTTCTGCCTCTCATCTACTTCCAGGTCATGGCAAAATGGTGGGATGAAGCTGTTCTTCTGAGGATTGGCCTAAAGCTAGAGCAGTTCCGTGAGCAGACCAAAAAACCATCCATTTATTATGACATCCTTGCATGATGGAGCAACCAAGATGRGGAAGAAGTCTGTTTTTTCCTAGTCTGACGTGACCAAGTATTAGAGTGAACTTGTTTTCAGTGTTCATCTGAATAAGGCTTAGTAGCAGGCCCATTTGAGGAATGGGGACAAACCACTGATCTAATCAGGCACTGATGCTGAGAGCAGACATATTTTCTGCTCCCTGTTTGGTGGATGGTCCAGTATATACTAGGGAGACTAACTGTGCTAGCTAGTTGGATTTTTGCCAACTGGGGAAGCTGCAAATATCTTTTACAGTTTCTTTCCATGGAGGGGGGTCCTGTGTATGAGTGGAAGACAGTTGCATCTACAGGACTACATGCAGGCAGTTCATATTACAGTACATGGAAAGCTACAATCTCTACCTTAACCTTCTCATGGAACTCCTCCTCCTTCAGGATAGAACAAATGTACTGTTTCCAAAGGGGAAAGGCAGCAAGTAATGCCTAGCTCTCTTGGAATGATGAGGATCTTAACACACCTGCACTTAGGCAGTGTTTGTTTTGGCCCTGTACTTATTCACTGGGAGCAAACCATAAAGCCTGTAGCTATGGAAGTGTTGCTGTGCTATTGTTTCCAGCTGCCAGCAGTGCAAGGTCAGCCCAACAGTTGCAGTCTGGGTGTGCTCACTGCCCCTGAGTCCTGCTTACCTTCAGCCTGGCATGCAAGGCAAGGAAAAGCCAGACCATGAACCCTCATCAACTCCAACCCAAAGCCCAGGTGCAGGGTTCTGGCTTTCTTCTRCACATCTCCATTTTCCAAGCTAAGCCTTGGAGAGCTTCTTTCCTCCTGCTGGTTGCTCATTATATAAGCCTGCTGTCATCTAGATGCMCAAATGGAAGAAACTACGGGATAATGCTGTGCAATACTCTTTATGGGGTTTAGAGCCAGCTATTAAAAACAAGTGAAATTTGAAAAAATGCTACTGCACTACTGCAAAAATTGAAGCTGGGTGCAAGAAAGGTGTCGCACAAAGCCACATGCAGCAAAGAGCCTGCTCTACRTAAGAAGCCAATCCTCTCTTATCTTTAAAGTACTTCCTAAAGTAATCAAGGTGGATATGGATTACTACATAAAGCATCACAGGGCTGTAAGCCATAGTGTTGTTTTATTGCAAGACTCCAGACTGTAAATTCCCTAGTACCTTTGACCTGCCAGCAACACTGGGGCCACGAGAAAGAAAAGGCTTAGGAGTAACTAAACCTAAGCATTTGTGTTCATTTTTGGGTTAATGCTCAGTTACCTCAGGCATCCTGGACTTGTGATCAGGCTGCTGGAGCAGCTGTCCTACAGCCAGCAGAGATCACTCTATTCTTAKGTAGCTTGGAAGGAAAGAATAAATAGAAAATAGTTGCAGTTTCTCCCAAACACAGTACAGTTTTGGATTTTTTTCCCCATACCTATGTACTCCTTAACCAGAGCTAGCACTTTACTAATGGCTGAGGTTGAGGCATCTGAATGGACAAACATTGCTTTGCTGTCCCCTGCTTTAYTACCTGAGTTAAAGCATCAACTTCTACCATCAGCTGTCACCAGCATGCACAGTTAATTGTACAGTTGATACTGCTGCTTTGTATCTTTAATTCCTCTATGGGATATGGCACAACTGTTTTTTCAGTCATTTTTTCAGTCTTTTTTTCATTAGTATAGCTCATCTTTATGAAGAACAATTTCTAAGCAAAGTATTTCCTCTGTTATTAATGGTAAGTTATTAACACTACCAACATACATTAGAATGAAACTGCTGAAATGTAGTTCTTAGCAATTAGGGAGTTGGTAGTGTTTCACAATAATAAATTTCAGCTAGGAACATTACTGCTTGAAAGAAATAGCTGAATATTTCCTAATTCTATGGTATTACTCAAGGAATTAGAGCTAAATGGCTAAATATTCAATTACCATCCTGCTAGATAAAGCTATTTATTTCCAATCCCTTCCTAAATGCTACACATCCCTAAAATTATTATTTCAATATTTACTTCATTCTCTGGCATGGTGAGGGAGCTCAGGTTGCTAGGAGGAGAGAGGCTAAGTAAATTGTTATTTTCTAAAAACATCTGCATCCTCCAAACAGTAGGAAAAAGAAAGAATTGAGTTTTTACTGACAGTAACTCARCCTCTCTTTTCACACACTGCTTCCTCCCTTTGCCTGAACATATCTCATCAATGCACATTTCCAGTGCAGGACTTTCCTGGTACTGAGGTCACTAAAATAAACTTTACTCATCCTGGTGAAAGGACCCTGTGTTTCCTTTTTTCCCYTGACTATTAGTTTATCCAAATTCTACAGCAGACCCGTAGTTCTGGAAGCAAAGCAGACACAGTGATCACACACACAGTCCTGTTGCTTCACATAGATATATGTATGGGTATAGATATACGATATATACACACAGATTTTCCTTTTAATATATATATATAAAATAACACCTTGTTTATAAAGCGACATTTAATTGCCACTGGTTCCCTTCCCGCCCCACAAAAACAATAGTATACAAAATATAAAATATTTTAAATATTTATAAACGTCGCAAGAAAAAAATAGAACTGTACGAAAATATTTTTTTTTTCTGAGGTTCCCTCCCTGACCTGTGGGAAGAGGAAGAGAAGGGGTACATGTCTGGCCAGCCTAGTGTGCCTTGAGTCCATAGTTGTTAAGTGGGTAGGAGTATGCCCTGCCTAATACTATCCGGTCCCGGAGGAGCTTAAATAAGACATAATAATTGCAGAAAAGGATTAGGGCCATGGAGAGGGTGTGGTTCCACTTCTCTGAGCGCAGCAGTGAGTAGAGCTGGTAGCAGACCACGCTGCCTTCAATGAGAATCAGCAGGTTGAGCAGCCGTAATGGACGGTGAAAAAGGAACTGCAGGGAAACAGTTAAGAAGGAAAGACTTCTGTCATTTGATGCAGGGTTAAAGGGAGTAGAAATATGGACATGATGTTGTCAGGGCCACTGCAGGGCAGAAACAACACTTGTACTCCWGCCACCCCTAGCTGCTACTTAGGGAAAACAGTAAGAACAAGGCATGTAGAAATGGYATTTTGCTTGAGAAGGGGAAGCAGGTGAAATAAACCTTTTGAACTGTTGACACTTCCCCATTTTCCTGAAAGACATTAATAAGACTCTCTCAGGAAAATCCCACTGCTGGATAGGGGAGCTGCATCACCTTGATGAGAAAGCACTGACAAGGCAGGCATGGTTTGCATCCTGCCCAGAAGTCACAGTAATAGTGCAGTGGGAAGGCCCCTCTGCTGCCAGCAGCTACTTTGTTCAGCACCACCAGCCTGTCCTGCACTGTCTGCTCTGCTACAGTTTGAGCCTCTCCTCCCTCCCACAAGCCTAAGCACCCAGCAAGAGAAGAGATACTTGCATAAAAGCGGGCATGGGACACGTCTGAAGGCACTGCTACGTTGTAAGGCCCAACTGCTTTATACAGGCACCGGCTCCGTCGCACCAGAACTCCCTGTGGCCAWATCGTGTTTTCTGACCAGCTGTGAGGAAACAATGCCAGAGCATTAACATCTGTGCTCCCAACCCCCTGAATGAGGAGTGGGCCACATCTTGAAAAACACCAATGCCTCTGCCACAAAGACATGCCCTAGAAAAGCACTGAGGGGTGATCACAAGCTCATCCAATGGACTCTGAGTTATGAACAAATGGCTCCCAGTGCAAGAACCTTGTCCACTGTAGTGGAGGGGGCCCACCCCCTGCCTCTGCTCAAGATACTTTCCAGTGGCCAAGAATCTCAGCATTTCTTTCTGGGAAGGAACCAGCAGYGACTGGAGGAGCTCAGACAGCTCTCTAGAGCAGACATTTTTGTTTGCAGTGAATAAGGCCAGTATAATTGCATGGGGAGTGGAGACACATCCTCAGTAGGTAAGCACTGCTGGTATATGCTCCTCTCCTAGACCATCTCAGCCCCTTGCTAGGCATGCCAAGCCCTGCCCATCCCCATCCCCACACTCACATGTGCTGTGGAGCATTGCTGTAGGAGCCATGTTCTAGCTTCTGCCACTTGCCGAGGTGGGCAGCTGACCTGTGGAGCAGGTCACAGTACTTGGGAGGCAGCAGCTGTGTGGTGAGCATGACAAAGGCGTTGATCCACACCATGATGAGGTGCTCGCAGGACCAGCGCATGTCGTAGTACTGGGTGCTCTGAAAAAGACCAGACAAGAACTTGGCACCACAGTCACAAAACAAAAGGAATGACAAGGGACATACTGCGTGTGCATCCAGCAGACCCACACCACACGTTACAGGCATGCGCTTTTAGACCGGTGATTTCAGAGGGTTACAGCTTACGAGACACTCAAGACTCCCTTCTCCTTGAGCTGAAGGAGAAAGGGCAGGGGATGATGCTGCAGCTGGTGCATGTCCTCCTCCAGCAGCAGGTAACAAGGTAGCTTGCTTGCCACAGAACTGCCCCAGGAGCACCAGTTGCACCAAGACGGCTACATGGATTGTGGAGCCCTGCCCATTTCTCTGCACCAACTGGAGCTTGTTCAAGTTAGAAAAATGATAGATGAAAAAATAYAACCCCCATACTGACAAGAGGTTCTTGGGTTTAGTTTGCCAAGCATCCTAGTTGGCTCTAACAGGCTGACCAAAACCTTGATCCAAGCACCCAAAAGCCATGATGTTGGATCTTAGACAGGTAACAACAGGTTTGTTCTCTTTTCTAGGAAGAACACATCTGCCTAGGACAGGGGGTGGGAGAAGGGGAGTTAGTAAGTGGGGTGATGGGACTAGAGGTGCATCACATTTATGGCAATACCTATCTGCCAACCAGGAGCAGTACTAGTGCACTCCGGATGCAGCCATGCTCCGCTATCCGGGCTGCCAAAGGGGAGACAGAGAAAAGGGGAATTAACCAGGAATCTGGCCTGGCAGCAGTTCACACAACATTCAGAAGGAGACGGCGGGCAGGGGCACAGAGAAAGCCASACAACAGTTACCTTCACAAAGCACAGTGGCAGGAATGCCACATAGTAGGCACTGAAGAGGGAGTTGAAGAGAACTTCCTTGATCCTGCGGTTAAAATCTGCTTTTAGGCACTCCACCTCATTGCGGATGAGATCTGGGGAAAGGGGGCAGTTGTGGGTGGGGATAGAYGTAGGATTATTGAACTGTTCTCTCAGGGATTCCCACAGAAGCGAGAAGAAGTCTTTGACCAGGCTGCTGACAGCTGAAGCCCCATCATCTGCCACCTGGTCCTGTACCAAGTAACCACAGTCTGCAGGTAGAGGTTGTGCTCTGCTGTCCTGGTGGAAGCAGCACAGAGGGACGTAGACACCAAACCTGCCATGAAAGAAAGAAAACAATGGCTGAAATAGCAGCCATCCCAACAGGGAGCAGGAGACACCTCCTCAACAAATACAGGCCCTGATGAGAGTGACAGCACGCAGGAACTCTCACTCCAGAAACCAACAGCCAATTCTTGTCGCCACTAAAGGCCAGAGGCTGCAGCTTCAACATCTGTGCAGAGAAGCTTCTGTAAATCCTATTGGTCAAACCAACAATCCCAATGGCTCAGTGTGGCAGTATATCCCCCTCACACAAACAGCAACTGAGGCAATTCACTTCATCAGCTCAGTGCCACCTCYTCACACCATGCCCCAGCCACTCCTGCTTCCCTTTTAATCCTAAATTGAGGAGACMTTACAGCCAACAGCTCTGCTTCCCACGGTGGCTAATGGCACCCCCAAGTAGCTGTGCTCCCCCTGCCCAGAAGGTACAAGGTGGTGTCACTCACGGGTAGCCCAGAAAGAGAAGGTTGAGAACAGAATGGCTGCGGAAGAGGTTGACCAGAGTCCAGCAGAGCACCCATCCACAGAGGGTGAGCAGCACCAGGCGCACCATGTAGTGAATCACTGATGTTGCACCCACCTGAGAAGCCTGCAAATGGAGAAGAAACACTCAGCAGTCCTATAACAAGTAGTGCTAGAAGATGAGCACAAGGGATGCCTGGGGATGAGGAGCAAGGAGAGGGGTGGGTACTAGAACCAGGAGGTACTAGAAGAGGGACAGCTGCCCTCTTCCTCTCAAAAGCAGGAAACTGATTCTCTTACAAAGGTAAATGCCTTTGAGTTTATTAATGATTGACAGTATCCAAAAGACTCATAATCACAAGTTGTGGGGCATGACTAAAATAGAACCTTTAAAGAAAAATTTAGGGCTGCAAAGTGGAAAAATATTTTTGCTCAAGTCCCTTATTGCTCTGATGATAGTCCAGGAYAGCCTAAAACCCATTTCCTCTCTCTTCTTTAGAAGGATCAGATCTCAGTATACTCAAAGGTCACAGTTCTCAGCTGAGGGAAGAAAAGATGTGCACCTTGGCAATCCCAAACCCAGATTTCCATAACTTATCTCTACTGGATGGGCAAGCTGCAGTCTAGTGAGGAGGCACTGAAAGAAGCAAGAAAGCCTAATCCATTCTCCAGAGGAGAGAAGGAAACTGAACTATGAAAAAATTCTTAAGGGTTAGAGCCAATACATGGGATGCGCAAGAACTTGCATGGAAGATTTCAATGCAGAAATTTCAGTCTATGGGAAATTTTATGGAGGTTGTGAACATAAATGGAAATGGAAGGAATCAGATGAAAAGAGAACTGCAGAGTTCCCACCTTCTCCAATCATCTATTCAACAGGATGTAACTGTTCCTTTGTTTTATTTACTTATTTTTAAACACTACTTAGTTGCTTAGCACAGAGTTGTATTAACCCATTTCAGTAGACAAAACTTCCATTTTCCTGAAAATGACCTTTTACAGAGATCTATTTGGCYTGGTTCTGCTCCCCCAAACACAGAGAAGGTCTCAAAATCTGCAGTGACATGACCAGAGTCTGAATTAGAAGAGCCAGACCAGAGTCTGAATTAGAGTTCTACCAGTATTCCTGTTTCACTTCAGTGTAGTCAGGCTTCCTCCTCCTGACCTTACCCCTCTGATGTCCTGTTCATTCTTCTTGTCTTGGCCAACCTCCCTATCTGCCTTTCAATTCTCTCAGCCACTTCTCTAGCATGAAATTGTGG